TTCAGATCGGTTTGACCAACGGCTCTTGCGTGTAGAGGGCGCCTTACAGCCTTCCCATACAAATTCCTACTACAGGTCCCACCCTTCTATATAAATTTCTTGTATAGGTTCCTTGGCCCCGATTGAGATTCTACCCCGGCCAGAGAACTGCGTTACAAAATATAAATAGATTAAACAGAGTTGGAATTTAAAAATGCCTGATTTGTTAAGGTAAAGCGTGTACAGTAAACAAATCCGAGGTTTCTCTACTTTCAAGCAAACCCAATACTAAAGGAAATCATCCTTGATTTTTCCGCGAAGGAAAAAGGTGGCTAGTTACCAGTTGGTATTGCACCATTTTCTTTATAGTAAAATAAACAGCCGTTTTTCGTATTTAAAAATCAAGAAGGAAAGAGGTGGATAGTTACCAGTTTGTATCACACAATTTTTTTTCAGAATAAAAATAACAAATTGAAAAAAGTAAAATGTTAAATTTTTCCTACTCCTAATGATTTAAAATACATTTGTAGATATTTTTTAAGCCAAGTTAATGTAATTATTGTAATAAAACCATTTCAGTTTATTTTCTTTGAGGTATGAACGGTCGACTATGATATAATTTATACATTTAGAATAAAGTTCAATCAGAAGGTAAATTTAAAATTCTGTATTATGCATTCAATAATTCTACGTACTCCCAAAGCGCCAATTTAATTTAATTTTGCAGTAATAATTCCAGCCATGTTAATTGAAATAATTAAATGAAGCCATTTAAATTGATTTTCTTTGAGGATTAAGCTGTCGACTTTAATACATTTCCAAGTTGAAATTCAGGGAGTCCTTGTAGTTAAATTTTAAATTCCGAACTTTCGACTATTTCGTTTCAACTTGTTTCGCTCTCTTGTCGCCATAAATATTTGATGTGACGGCAAACTTGGCGGCTATCAATGGGACGTTGGGTTGGGGTAGAGTTGGCTTGGATTGGATTGGGGTTTTTTTTGGCGGGTGTGGGGAGGGGGGTGTCTTACAAGATAGGGAGTTACTGGATTTGGGGTTGGGGACTTGGCATTGTTGTGCGTAGAAGTATCCGAGGTATGCGGCGTACCAAAACCGGGCATAATCAAAATACAATTGTGCGTGGAAGGCGCTTGTCTGTGTGTGTGTATTCGTTTCGGGGCTGTATGTGTGTGTGTGAGTGGTTGTAACGCATGCACAAACGTTTATTTCTTTCTTTCCTTTGGCGTTTGTTTGAGTGGGTGGGAGAGAGGGAGATGGGGACCACCTGGAGCGACGAACAGCTGCGCGTTCTCTCCATCTCTCTCTCTCTCTTCCCTTTCCAGCTCGCGTACCCCCGAAAGTATGCTATAAACTGGAAACCCGAGAGCGGCGGCAGCAGGAAATGTTTGTCCTGATGGGTTAATGCAAATATGTGCGAACGGAAGTCATCGTAAATTAATTAATTACAATTCGAAACGATGCCCACAGATAGAAGCCAGCAGCTGAAAATGAAACTGAAACTGAAACTGAATCTGGGTAGACCAAAAACCGAACCCGATCCTGGCCAGCTGAATACCCATCCTCGCGACTGGAAGTCGTTGTCCTTTCGGCTCAGTTCGGCTCCCTTCGGCCTTCCACGGACTTTGTGTGTCGCCTCTGGACTCGTGGCCGCCTGGCAGGGACCCCAAAACGTTTTCGGGCGCTGTGCTGACAACATCCTCGCAGGACCAACGAGCGGATGGTGCGTCCCCAAATCCTCCTGTTCTGTGTATGTGTGTGCAGAAACTTTTAACCGTGTGCGCCCTGTGCTTGTGTGCGAGTGTGTGTGTTGGTGCGCGAGGTGTTGGAAAATTTATTGCAGTTTGAAATCAAAGGAAAAACTTAAGCCGAATCAAAAACCTCACCTTGCTATCGAGGGCCCACTAATCCTGGCATAGTCAAGAAAGGAAAATAATAAAGAATTGCCAGAGCGGTGAACAAATACCATATACAAAGCCAATTTTTATATAATCAAGCAATAAAAAGCCACAAAATGGGGGCGGTTAAGGGGGGCGGTTAAGGGGGCGGTTAAGGGGGGCGGGCGGGTGACAGGCAAAGCGTTTTTCGGTCGTCTGTGTGAGTGCAGAAACATTAATGGCAGCCCCCGTTCGTGCCTGTTGTGCATTGGTGTGTGTGAGTCTGAGCCTTCTCGTGCTTGAGGCCTTTTTCATAAAGAGGTCAAAACGTTGCTTTCGCCTTATACGTGTGTGAGTCTCTGTGTGTGTGTGCGTTGTGCGAGTGTGCAGAGTTTCTTCATGCTTTCTGGCCGCCTTCTTTTTCGGCTGGTCAAGTCAAGGAGCAAATTTAACAGTCAGACTTTTGGCTGTCACGAGTTCGACCCCGTTCTTAAAGCGGCCCCGCCCCTTTAAAGTTGCCAAGCAAATGATATAACAATTAGCCAGGAGCCCCCATTTGTGCCCATGTCATTTTGGGCTTAGCTCAAAGCGCGACTAATGGGATTTCGGTGGCTTTTCCGGGGCATACTTTTAGGTGGCAAGCTTACTTTTTGCCAACATGTTGTTCAAATTATATAAAAGCCATGATGGTCCCATGGGATTAGAAAGCTAATGTTTTGAAAAAACTGCAAAAATATATAATTAATTGAAATTAGATAAAATTAAAGTAAATGAAACAAGCTGCCTTGATTTATTTAATATACAATATAAAAACTAAATTGTTCAACTCGAAACAAATTATTAAAGTCTAAAAACCATTACCAATTTTTTCAAAATGTTTTTTAAATCATTACTAGATATTTTAAAAATATATACATATATGAAATATGCCAGTTAGTCTTAAGTTTCTCAGAAGATACTGTTTTAAAAAATATCAAATGTCCGTTGGTTCCCTCAAATTGATGGGGCAATTATGTAAAGCAAAGGAAACGCAAAAATGTTACGCAATTTAAAAAAAAAACACAAAACATTGCGGGGCAAAAACATAATTAATAACAAAGCCACACGGTTGAATTCTTGGCCAAACTCTGGGCTACGGCTAAAAATAACAGCGAAAAAAGGACAAAAAGAGGCAGATGTGCAGCAGGGAAGGGGGCAGGATTAGCAGGGAATGGAAGGACTAGGACTAGAAGCAGCGGGAGCTACTCAAAGCATAACAATGAACATAACCGCACATTCAGCCAGAAGCAGTAAAAAACGGGCAGTGGGCGGGGGCGGAGTCACCTACTAAACCTAAATGAAAGTAAAAATTGTAAGCGTAAGCTAAAACAACAAACACAGCAGCGAGCGAAAGCAAAAGCAAAGAAAAAGCCGTGAGAAAAGCGATAAGGCCTAGCAGATAAGCGGCATTCAGAGAGTGGCAGGAAAATTGAGATGGAGAGCGCGGAAAATTGTATGCCTGAGAGCCTGGAAAATGGCAAAGAGAACAGTTGTCCAAGAGTGTGCAATGAATTTGTTGGGGAATCTGCAATTTTTGGTAGCTACCAATTTACCAAATTGGTCAATAAAAAGTATGCCATCTAAATATTTCACATTGTTTTAGTTTAGATCAAGATTGTTAAAGGTTTAAAAATGGTTTTATTATAACAAAATTAAATCTCATAGCATAATTCAATTATTTTTTATGCTCCTTCCAGGTTTAATGTATTATCATTAAAAATAGTAACGATTATTTAAATCGGCTAGAAGTAAATTTCAAGATTTTTTTAAACAAAGTAACTTTTTTGTTTTGGGTTTACTACAAATTAAGCATTTGGATTGGCTATATATTTTCAGCTCTTAATAATCAACTAAATATCTTGCGATAATAAATGAGAGCTTCAAAACTAAAGGATTTGAATAACTTTGGCTAAACTACTTTTTAAAGAATAAATGGAAAAAATCTGGTTTTATTTTTCCTCCTCATTACATTTTTTTACCAGCTGAGACAATTAAATTTTTTATGATACAAATTGTTAGCAACAATAATATAATAAAAACTAATATTTTTTTTAAATAGTTGATGGACTGTGTGTGATATATGATTAATTTGTTCTAACTAAAAATTGCTAGTGGGGCGGTGTGGAACTGAGAAAAATCTGAAAATGTTTTAATTGTATATTTGATTTAAATATTTGCTTGCAACTTTCTCTCCACAGACAGCCATCCTTTGAGCCTTAACAGCGAAGACTTTGAAAATGTAAACAAAAGCGACGCAGGCGCAGCAGTACTCTCTCCCTCACTCCTCTCAAGCAGTTTGGAAAGGAAAGCCGAGCTTCCAGGCTCGCATCCTGCTCGGCTGTCGGTCCTTGGTCCTCGGTCCTTGGCCGTCGGCAGTCGGTTTTCCAGCCCACATCCTGGCCAGGCTCAAAAACAGGCTCGGGCAGCCAGCGCTCACAACGCCAGCAGAGTGCGCAGCGTGATGTAGTCCAGCTCCAGCTGCAGGAACACAGCTCCAGCCTTCGCAGCGGCCACTCAGGGAAACTTTTCCACACTCGAGCACGCACACAGGGACAGGCCGAGTCGGAAAAGCGGAAAAGCCTCAGACAAATGGCCAGGAATAGCAGCAGCGGCAGTAGCAGCGAGCGCAGCAGCAGCAGTGGCACAGAGGCTAGGAAGCCGTGAAAAAAGGAAAACATAAAAGAGGAGGCGTGAAAAAAACAACCACAAGAGGCGGGCGTGTGGGAAAATCTAGGGGAAAATCGCGCCCCGTGGAAATGGAAATGCTGAGGCTTCTGTTAGCCAAGCCAGCAGCAGCGGAAGTAGCAGCTACACCAGCGGACACGGCAACCTGAATCCGCGCCCGCTCCCAATTTCTCCGCTCTCTCCGTTCCGTGTTAATTGTTATTTATGTATAGTGTATATATAAAGTTGTGTGATACAAATGGATCGCAAAGATCCGACAGCAAGCAAGAAACTCTAACCTAAACTCAGTCTAATCAAAAGCGTACAACGACAACAAACGGTTTTGCAAGTGAAACGATAACACCAAGCCAACCAACAAACCAACCAACCAACCAAATAACCAACAACATTATTCCAACGGGTCCAATGTTGCAGCCAACAACATGCAGCAAACAGCAACAGCAGAGGCAGCAACCAGCAATCGCAACAGCAGCAGTGGGAGGAGCAGCGGTCCAGGAGCTGCTTCGGCAAACCGCAGCTAAAGATCATGGAGCCTTAGCAGCAGCAACTGCAGCAACAGCAACTGCAGCAACAGCAACTGCAACAGCAGCAACAGCGAGCCGCAACACTTGGTGCCACAGCGACAACATGTTGCCCGTAGGCCGCACCAGCAGCACAACGATAGACTTCAATAGTCGCCGGCGGAGGGGGCGCCTACGAGGACACGCCTCCTTTGTCCTGGCGGAGAACAAGCAACACCAAGCTACGATACTGGACGAGTGTGTAAATATTTTCAAGCGCTTAGTATTATTAACATTAAAAACAATATCAACAACAACAATAACGAAAGCAAAGACAAGAAGCAGAACAGCGGCGATACCAGCGATACCAGCAACACCAGCAACACCAGCAACGCCTGCAACATCTGCAACATCTCGTGGTGCCTCAGTGGAGCAGATGCAGATGCTGCTCCACCCAAGCAGCCGAAGCCGCTGCAGAAATCGCTGCCTCCGCCTTCCGATCTACAGCATCCTGCTGCTCTGCCTGGCCACTCAGGGACTGGGATTAGGAGATGCCGCCAAGCCCAAGTCGGCCAAGCAGCACTTCGGCGGCAGCAGCAACAGCAACAGCCCGAACCAGAACCAGAACCACAACGATGTCCTGGGCGGGGTGGGTGCCCCATCCCAAACGTCCGGCGAGGACGAGGCCGAGATCATGTACCCCTTCCAGTCCGGGGAGCAGATGTTCGGCCTGGAGGAGGACCAGGAGCAGGACCAGGAGCTCAACTCCAATGCAGTTCCCGGCTCTGACGAGGATAATGCGGCCAATCAACGTGGTATCAATGGTGAGTTTCCCCACCTCTCCTCTCTCTGGTTCCATTCCCATTCCAAGTCATTCCTGCACGTGTGTGGATTTTTGCATTTGCGAGTGGGTGGCCTGACTAATGGCATTTGTATTTAAATGAGCCATTCAATTTCGGGGGCGAGAAGTTTTGGTCTGGGCGGTACCGTGCGTCAAACTTTTCAGCGCAGACAAATTGAATTTGCCTTGCATGGGGCATCGATGAGTTGGAACCGAGTGGCAGGGTTGAGAAATGATAGCGAATAAAAGTTCAAGACTCGGAATCAGACAAATGTTTAATGGTGGGACAGGTACATTATTGGCCCGCCCACTCAGTGTATTTGTTATTTATCCCGACATCAAATAATAAATGGATTTTCAGAAATTCGTTTAGAGTTTAAATGATAAAAATTTAAAAAAAATTGTTGTGAAAGAAATAACTCGTACGTTGTTAAATACCGTTTATCTGTTAGTACTCATACCTTTTTTTGAAAATGACTTTAAAATTCATTTTTACTAAATGCTTAAGTGTGGTTAAGAGACCGTAAAATGGATTTTGTAAATTTTCTAAAAAGCATATTTGTTATACAATTATTTACAAGATTAATTATTTTACATGGAATAAAGTTTATTCATAATTATCATAAAATGCACCGAAAGTGAAATAAAATTGCTTGAAAATAAAAATCATGTAATATTCCTCTACCGTTAAAAACAGGAAGTAAGATGTTGGCAGAATCTCCATTGCATGGCAATTATTTTGCAACCACACTGCGTATGAGCGATATTTATGTGCTTACATTACGTATACGTAACGTAACGTATGAAGTGCCCGCCACTGAGGCGAAACAACCACAGTAATTCCCACAAAACTCATATGCGCTGCGTATACGTAATATGGCGAACATAAATTATCCCGGCCGCAGCATAAGCGACTGCAAATGAACATAATGGAACAACTGTCTGCAGTTGGCCGATGAAATATATTTCTGTGTGCTATGCGCCCAAGAGCGTGTTAATGTGTGCCCAGCACACATATGTGCAAAAAATATATATATTCTTTTTTTGTGCCACATCAGCGAAAGTCAAGCTGCCGCTCTTGTCTCCCCTTTTGCACCTTTGCAACCTTTTTACCTTTTGCCCCTGATTCGGCCTGTCCTTTTGACTGTGCTTCTGCTCCCGTGAGCGGCGCAGTCACATTTTGGCCAACAATTAAACCCAGCATTGCACACGGAGCCCGGACCCCGGAGCCATTTCTCATTTTAATGACTCAACTGAGCCGAGTCCCGTCAGAAAGTGGCTGCCCCAGTCCCCGACCCCCTTTGGAAACAGAAAAAAGAGAAAAGTTTCGAGCGCAAACAGTGATCGACTAGAGTTCACTCCTTTGTGTGTGCACATCCCATCCAGAGGGGGATGATGTCAACGCGGCAAATCTCCGGATGGGTATAGATGTTGATGATGTCAAGCCCCGATAAGCTACCCCGGCCAAATCCCATCCAATCCCGTACTTTGTTTGCCTTTCGCCCCCTCAAACACAAATAAAACCCTCCGCCGAATCGGAACTCGTGACACACAAAACTACTCGAAGGCGGAACGTGTCCTGCGGACTGCAATCGCAATTGCAATTGCAATGGCAATCGCAATTGCATGGGTATTTGTACCACGAACGCTTGTTGTGTGTAAATCAGGCTTTAAAATTAACGCAGATTGCTGGAACAAGCGACAGGCCACGAGCAATTAACATGAAACCAGCGGGAAAAAGTCCACAAAAAAGCGGAGGACACACACAGCGAAAATAATGCAGACAGGGCGCGCATATAACTCAGGTCGTACATACAACTGTATGTACACACATACGTACCTCTATATAAATGTGCACTGGTCTTCTCTTCAGCGACCTTTGTTCGAAATTTTATATATATATATATGTATGTACATATAGAAATTCCTGTGTGTGTGTGTGTGTGTGTATTTGCCTTGCTTTTGGCTTTTCTATTTTACCATCGACCCAAATTGCGAGCGCGCTCTCCGTATAATAACAACAAAAATACACACACTCTTGGGTGAAATATAGTATAAGTATGTGGGCTAGTGTGTGTCTGTGTGGGGCACACGCAAACGTGGCTGTTAACGACGTTTCAGGCTCTCAACGTCGGCGTTTTTGTGGGTGTATAGTAATGGGTGGGGGTGGTAGGAGGGGGGGTGGATGGTTCGGGACAGACCCTGAAAAAAAAGAAATACAACCGAAAGGAAAGAGAATATAAAGTTAAGTAAAGACCTCGACCTAAACGGCAGGCGGCCAAAAACTTGGTGTAACTTTGTGCGGGTGTGTGTATGCAAACATTTTGAAAAATGATTGGGAAAAACAAAAACAGAGACAGAAACAGAAACCAAAAGCGAAAATGAAAACGAAACGAAAACCAAGCCGAAACGGCGGCGGAAAACGAGTTGGGAAAAGTCCGAGACGAAGGGCCCAAAAAAGAAGGCAGCACAAGCACGCACAGCGCCTTAAACACAAATTTAAATCGATAAATCAAAATGCCAACAACAGAGCGGCAGCAACAGAAACAACAGAAACAACATCAACAAAGCGTCCTGGCAAGGACGTGTGAGTTGCATGCTAAAAGCCACGAGAGACGATGAAAAAAAAAAGCCAGAAAAACGAGCTCGTGTGGGTGGCGGGATGTCGTTTCCTTCCTGCCTCCCAGCGATTTCAGTGCTGTGCTTTTGCGGGGTACGGTCCGAAATGACAACATTTGGCCGCCTTTTTAATTATTGACATTCCCCCCCGTCCCATCGCCAGTGTCCTTCCAATCCTTGTGGCCACTAATTGCCCCTCCTGTCTGCCCAACTGCCCGTCTGCCCCTCTGTCTGTCTGCTCTGGCCACGTTTGTGTGCCCTGGTGGCTGTGATTTGGCATTAATTTTAATCCCAGCTGCAACTGACTCAGCTCAGGTGAGCCCACAGGATTGGATATCCCACACACCAGACTTGGGTTCAAGTCACGAATGAATCACGTTCGATGTGCCCAAGGGGTCCGTCTTACTGCCGTCGGCTATCAATGAATCGCCCTTATCGGTGTGATTCATGCGATGCGGGTTTTGTGGTCAGGCTCTTAGAAAACCGGTTAGCAAATGCAATCCGTAGTCTGTAGTCTGTAGTCTCACAACGGTATCGAGTGTCATTCACTGCGAACTGCGTAAGCAAATCTTTCTCGAATGCTAGCAAATACCTCAAAAACATACTATATCTTCTTTTGTTTGTTTTTATTATGTTAATATATCGAGTTCGAAAGATTCCATGGTATTTATGACTAGTTTTAACAGGTTCAAAACAAATTATACATAAATTAGTATGAGATAGGCATCGATTCACACCGAAACCTACTAAAAACTAGTAATGAGATTATGTCTCCTACAAATCAGATTAAAACGATAACCTATTTATGTATTGTGGTATTATACTTTATTTATATGTGGTTTTTAAAAACAGACATTAATTATTGTCGACTGTTTTTCTTATCATCATTTTGTACAAAACTAGCAGAAAATGTTAGTTGATTTATAGTTATTTTAATAGTCAACAATTCAGATAATAGTTTTGAAATGCGAATGAAATATGGAAATTAGTTTTTAATCATGACGGATATTAATAAATCAAGTGTGAAACCCCCCACTTTTTTTAAACGTTAACGTTATAATTTTGGTTTAGAAAAACCTGGGTTGACTCATAAAGTTTTACGTTCACTTTCTGGAATTACTCTTATACTTTTGGATTGTTCATATACGGGAATTCACGCTATGCTCAAAAGATAATAAACCAAACTCTTGTTCATATATTTACTTTAAATGGGGCATTAAATTCAAGTACCTACTTGCCGTAACAAGCACAGAATACAAAGCTGAACTTCTTTAAGAGATTTTTGAATATACAACTCCCGGCAAACTTTAACAACTGCTATAAATTCATAAACGCGTAAATTAGTTTAAGGAACATTTCCCATTAAATTAAAGGTTTCCCATTTCGTTTTCGGTGGTATAGTTCTAGCCGAAATTGGGTCAAGCACATACATAGTGCCAGGGAAGGCATTATAATGCTGGCACTTTGGGCTTGGTCCACATCGGGATTGCCCTGGGGATAGAGCTGCTTTTGATTAGCTAAAATGCGGCCCACTCATGTGTGTATGTGTGTTTGCTTTGGGCCCGAAACTGTGCCAAGTTATGGTCGCCGTAACTTTTGAAGGTGGCAAGGACTGCCGCCGAGCAACCTTCATTGACAGCTGCTCATAGCCGTGATAAACCTTCTATGACAATCCTTAAGTGCCCCCGCCCCATCCCACATACACATCCACATTCACATCCACCCGCACCGCATATTGAGCACACTGCGCCAGGACGAGCGAGGGTCTTCTCTCAGCCTGCATTGATTCAACAGCCACTTGACAACCCTGCATGCACTGCGAAAAACACTACCCATGTCAGTCTCGTTATTCCGAATCAAATTTTTTCAATTTAATTCAAAAAGAAGATATTTTTTGGAGGTTTTTTTCAATTGTAATAATTACAGTATATAATTGGGTGACACGGAAATCTTTTCGGTTCAAATTCGGTTGAATATGTAGATTGTAACAGAGTTTTAACTAAATATATTCCCGTGTCAACCCCAAGTATTTGAGCACCCAGCTAGTGTTTCTAAAATGTGCAGAGCCACTGATTCGAACTCAATTTTAAAATATAAAATTTCTGCCTGTTTTAAGTTATACCTATTATTCATATAAAATATGAAAATAATTTCGGTCTAATTATATAAAACGATATTTAAAACATTCTTGTTTTGCTTATACTTTGACGATTTATATCATTAATTAGCTTAGTATTCATTTTATTACCGTAATTAAACTTTTATTTATGTTCATTAATAGTTCTTTGAAATTTGAAAGAAGGTTAACAACCTGCAATTCAAATTCACAAGCGGTCGAGCTAAGATATTTTGAAATATGATTCATAAAATATTATGATGAAGTCCTCTTTCATACGTCATTAAAACGATAAACTTGTGATGATAGGCCACAAAAAAAAAGGCACATATCAGAGTGATGACTAAGTTACGTGACATTTTCTCGCAGTGTGGCTCTGCTTTTGCCGCTGGCAGTGGCTTGCATGTGCATTGCACGTTTGGCTTGCTCTGATTTTGGCTGTTTTCTGTTTGGCTGGCTAATCGATTCGCCAGCCACCTTGAAACTCTGGCCGCTCTCTGCGGAGCGTTTTGGCCCGTGCCACAGCGCGCTGTCTCTCTGATAAATTAGCAGCTGCCTTCACGGCACCGCTTTTCCGCGGGTCAGAGAGCGTGAAAAGCCGCGGACATCGGTTCGTGTGAGTGTGTAGCTGGCACTTCCGCTTTGCGCTACCATAATGAACTTCCGGCCAGGCGTGCGATTTTTCTTTGACTTTTACTTTCCTGGTTCCTGTAATTTTCGTGCGTTTGTTCAGCCGTGATTTATGCACACTGATGACGTGGCAGAAAACTAGAAAATCCGGACTCCGCAGCCAAGTCCCAAAGTCATTTGGACCCTGCTTATCGGATCCTAATGAAGTTTAACCCCTTGGGAGGGCGGACTATGGAGGTTCTTAAAGAATTTCGCTTTATCTATCAAATAATACTTTTATTGCATTATCAGGGTATCAAGGTACAGGGGGTGGCACATAAATATTCATGGGATGCTTATATACATAGTTGGGATTGCCCTAGGCCAGCAGTTCTATCTCCCCCCCTCTCCTCCCTCCTCCCTCCTCCCCCCCACCCACACACACACATTCGAGTAAGCAATTTTGGGGCATGAATTGGAATTTTTGGCAACGGAATGGAATTTCACTCTCCTGCAGCTCTTGGCACTTAATGGGTTAATCGATTAGGCCTCCCTTCGGTTGGGTTTTTGGGATTTGGATTCGGATTCGGAGTCTACTTGGTCACGCGATTCCAGGCGCTGGAATAGCGCTCCGCCTCGAAGAAGTTGCCCATCGTTTGGGGCAGATTCTTGCGCTTCGCCTCGGTTCCAAGGATCCGCGGAGGCGTGTAGTAATTGCTCTTGGGCGTGGCACTCTCCCCGGTCTTTTTCCCCTTAATGCACTCCTCCTCGGGGGCGGGAACGGGTGTGGGCGTGGGCGTGGGCGTGGGCGTCACCACCTGTGTGCGCCACTCGAAGACGGGTGAATCGGCTCCGCCCTGTGGCAACTGCAACTTAATGGTGGCCCGGCTGACGAAGAGCTCCTCCTGGGCGCAGTTCGGTAATACTGCGGCTGCCATCTGAATGGATCGGTTCCCACTTGCGAACTGATTGCAAATTCGGACTGCGAGTGGCGACAGCCGCAGAGCATTCTGCTGTGGCTTTGTTCTCTGGTTGCGACTTCTGTTGCTCCGTAAACAACGCGTCTCGACCGCATGACGCATATCACGTATCCGCTGGCAGTGTGTGAGTGGGCTTGAGTGGTGCATTGAGATGGGAACGTGAGGACTTAGTAGTTAAATTGCTCCACATATGGGACTTCAAATAAGTTTAACAAGATGAACTCTATTAAAGACTTTTTTAAAGTAAAGTTTGGGTGCTATGCGATTTTTTCATGATAGGTCATAAGTGATAAAAGTAAAGAATTTTCTACTTAAATTGCTTAAAAGACCACATAGTTTCTATAATACCAATTTTCAAACTAATTCCATTAATACAACGATTTTGTAAGATATAAGATATTATTAATTTAACTTATTATTATTTATTATAATTTAAGGTACATTTAAAAATCTTTTTTATGACTTCTATTCCTGCCGAAATTATCCAATTTATCCCAAAAAGCTATTTAAACTCCTATTAATGTGTAAATAATTGTCTTATCTACTTTTTTTATTTGCACTTTTATTTTTTTTATCAAGTGTGTTGGAACAATAAGAGAATTAGTATTTGTTTGTTTGCCTTTCGGGTGATATCATCCAAAGCTCTCTCCCAATACAACTATGATAATATTGCTGATATTATCACTTCGTCATAAAAAATGTATACTGCCTTCAGTTCACCTGACAATGTCTTAATGCTAATTATTTTGTGATTGCTCACGATACCATCTCTGGCATGTGTGCTCTGCGATTTTCTGAGCTCACGACGACTGCAATCGCTTTAGTCAAATTGTTGTGCCAATTCAATCGCACAACTCAGAACTGGTTTCCCCCTCGTCCCTCCTTAAGTTATTTATGTGGAGAGCAGGCAGCCAGCGAGGCAGACGCCCACACATCGACAAAAAGGCAATAGCAATCGCAATAAATAATCAGATACAATAAATAATAAATAATATTTAATAGTCATTATTTTGTTACCTTCATCAAGTGAACCAATAACAATTTGATGACCAACTCTGCTTCGAGGGGCTCGTGCAGGCCGAACTCACTATATATGGAATATTTTCTCCTCGAATCATGACTGGATGGCGTAATCAGTTTGTGGCAAAAAAACTGTCTTAGAAAACATGTAATCAAAATGCCCCATGAACTTAAGAAGTTTCCGTAGGGATCTTTATGTCTGAGTTGAAGTCCCATGAGTAATTTGACATTATTTATATTCATTGCTTGTTCTTGCTCCATTTTTTCAAGGTCCGTCTATTTTTAGTACCATAATTCCAAGGCATTAGTAACTTTATAATTGTGATTCATTCCAAAAAGATAAAATAAGAGCATGATGATAACAAGGCGCCATTCACTCAATTTAAAGTTTATACAAAACAAGAAAGGCAAGCTAACTTCGGGCGGAGCCGAAGTTGATATACCCTTGCAGAATACTCTGTAAATTATATTCTCCAAAATTATTCATATGATGCATTCTTAATACTCATATAAAAATCCCAACATCCTAACTTTAAAAACACCAAAGTTATGGCATTTCCAATCGTTCAGTTATATGGCAGCTATAAGATATAGTCGGCCGATCCTTATGAACTTTGGTAGGTCGGATTGATTGGCCAAAAATAAAACCCATAGAAAATCCCAACTTCCTAACTTAACAAACACCAAAGTTATGGCATTTCAGATCAATCAGTTATATGGCGGCTATAGGATATAGTCGGCCGATCCTTATGAAATTTGGTAGGTCGGATTGATTGACCAAATATAAAACCGATAGAAAATCCCAACTTCCTAACTTTACAAACACCAAAGTTATGGCATTTCCGATCAATCAGTTATATGGCAGCTATAAGATATAGTCGGCCGATCCTTATGAAATTTGGTAGGTCGGATTGATTGGCCAAATATAAAGCCCATAGAAAATTCCAACTTCCTAACTTTACAAACACCAAAGTTATGGCATTTCCGATCAATCAGTTATATGGCAGCTATAGGATATAGTCGGCCTATCCCGGCCGTTCCGACTTATATACTGCGTGCAAAGGAAAGAAGGGTGTGTGCAAAGTTTCAACTCGATAGCTTTAAAACTGAGAGACTAGTTTGCGTAGAAACAGACAGACGGACAGACGGACAGACGGACAGACAGACGGACAGACGGACAGACGGACAGACGGACAGACGGACATGGCTATATCAACTCAGGAGGTGATCCTGATCAAGAATATATATACTTTATAGGGTCGGAGATGTCTCCTTCACTGCGTTGCACACTTTTGACCAAAATTATAATACCCTCTGCAAGGGTATAAAAAACTAAAAGTTGTTTCTATTTGTTTAATATTTTAATCGTTTTCTGCAGCAAATATATTATATAAAACCACTGAAAATACAACTTTTGTAATTTTAATTTGTTTTTAAAATTTGTATATATATATTATTTTGTTTCTTTTGTGTTATTTTAATATTAACTGCTACTGAGAACGTAACGTTAAGATAGCGAATTGCATTGCTTTCAAGATTGTATAACTATATTGGGAGAAAGATAAGCTGTCAGAAAAAAAATTTGAATGAAAATATCGGATTTTGGACGTTATCACGTTCCAGAAATTGTTGTTATCTTTTGGTTTAATTGCGAATACAATCAGTGAGGTAACTTCTTTAATGACACGTACTTATTTTTGGAATTTGTGTACATATTTTTGCATTTTGTGAACCCATTTCTACCGTTTTCGATTGCTCTCAATAGCTTTCGCAGTGCTTCAAATCCATTGACCAACTCATAACTGCATGAGTAACCCATCAGAAAGTCTGCTCATTTATATGTTTCGAGTGGCGATGATCCAGATTGATATGCAGGGCACCTGCTTCAAAACGAGTGTTAGCAGTGGCGCATTGCCACCCAATTCGCAACCCCTTTTGAAAATGGTTGAATTCAATCTGCTTCGAGAGACATCGGCCCTGTCGTCGTCACTCATTAAGCATTTGCCCAGTGATTCATAAGAATCATTCATTTGTGGCTCACGCTCGGTGTCGCTCCGCCCACCGCCCCCTACAAAAGATGGGAGGGGTGGGTAAAGTGGGTGTGGCGCGGTGCGGACCCCGTTAACTGCATGCAAATTGGCAGGGAGTCCGCCTGTCTAAAACCGGTTATAGAGCAAATTTCTTTGCTGTCCGTCGGTTTGTCCGCTCTATGTCTATCGTCTCGAACTGAAAACAAAGTGAGTCAATCCCGACTCTATTTCAGAGGCGTACGAAATAGGGATCTCCTGCGACCCCTACTTATATAAGACTTGATACAATAATGTTTAAAGCCTTAATATTGAAAAAATCAAAATAATTTTTTTTTTATCAACAAAAAAAGCGAAGCTGCTTCTGCCTGATAGATTTTAAATCAATAGGTTAATACATTTGTAATTCAAATTTTAAAGTGCATGCCTTCTATGTATCGCGACCCTTTCCTTTCCACAGCCTTGAATTTGCCCCATTACACATTTTTACAATAGGAGAACAAAACCGAAGAATAAGCCAAGCTAGATTAAAGATTAAAGTTCCAAGATGATTTATGTAAGAGGATAGAAGCTGACTTATTGGAACTGTGTGAACGACATGAATCAGTGGAGCTGCGATCAGCCCCACAAGCGATTAAGTTCGCGTTAATTATTTACTTGGCGCACGCGCCAAAATGATTGCTCACAGTGCAAATGATTGTTAAACATTTACATTGCAAACATTTACCATCGACATCAACATCATCATCATAGTCAGCGACTTGGACTGTTGAAGTCGGCGTCGAATGAGTGCAATTTGTTAATTGTTGCAAAACGCGCTGCATAATTTACAAAATAATTGCCATGAAAATCGCACACCAAAGGCGCCGCATGCGACAAGGGAGTTTTGCCAGCGATTTCCAAAAGGTCGAGCCACTTAATTGAGGATGTCTAATTGGGGATGGATATAGCAAATCGCAGATAGAGATATGTACTATGTGGAGACAGGTAGCAATCGAAAAGGTCAGAGTGGCAGACGACAAAATGACAAATTCGTCAGTGCAGTTCTTTAGAAGCTTTGCAATGATGAGTAAATCGATCGGAAAAACATTTTTGTTTGCTTTTCGAGGTAACCTTTTCATAAAACCAATTATTATTTAAGGTATATGCAAGGAGCTTATTGGATAATCTCTACAACCCATAACTATACTATATTTTTTGGAAAGATCAGGAAGCTTGTTTTCCTATAAATATTTTTTTCATACTTTTTAGAGCGTTAATTCAATCGCTTTATTAAATAAGAGGTTTTTTAATAGTTGTAGGACAAAAGAGTTATTCATTTAATAAATGTTTCCTTGTTATCGGCAACAAAAAAATTCATCCGAGAAAGTTCGTTTTTATTATATTTTAAGCTGAGTAAAAAGAGGTTGTAATTTCATGGTATAATGTAATGGGTTATGTCCTTCATTTTTTTAATGATTCTTTTTTCTTCTAAGCACAAGGATATATAATTCAAGAGTAATCATTATTTTTACTTCCCAAATGTATATGTTTTTCTTGGGGTGGATAACATACAATTTTCAAAAGTACTAATGCAAATTTTCTAAGCTTAATATGGTTAACTTGAGGGTCCTTTTAGCATTTCCCAGAGTGCTGTACCTCACTAAAATATATCTTTGTTCCTCACTATAATCTTAATGTAATGCTAAACATTATAAAATCTAATTAACTTGTTCACCCACTATTTGCAGACACGCACAACGATAACTCGACCACCACGAAAACGCCACTATTCCCGAAAGACCTATTCACGAAAGAACAGCTTGAGAACGGCGCTGTCATCCTGCACATCATTGGGGTGATTTATATGTTTGTGGCGCTGGCCATTGTCTGCGATGAATTCTTCGTGCCTTCCCTTGACGTAATCATTGAAAAGCTCGGCATCACGGACGATGTGGCCGGCGCGACGTTTATGGCGGCGGGTGGCAGTGCCCCTGAGCTCTTCACCAGTGTGATTGGCGTTTTCGTGTCGTTCGACGACGTGGGCATTGGTACGATCGTTGGCTCCGCTGTGTTCAACATCCTCTTCGTGATCGGCATGTGTGCGCTTTTCTCGAAGACGGTCTTGTCACTCACCTGGTGGCCTTTGTTCCGGGACTGCTCGTTCTATAGCATCAGCCTGCTGGTGCTGATCTACTTCTTCCGGGACAACCGCATCTTCTGGTGGGAGGCCCTCATCCTGTTCACCATCTACATCGCCTACGTGGCCTTCATGAAGTGGAACGTCCAGGTGGAGACGTGCGTCAAGAAGATGATTACCAAAAACAAGGTGACTCGCGTCAGAAGTACAGATCAACTTATGCCAGCAGTAAGTAGTTGGGAAGTTTTTTTGCAACAAATCAATTCAATTCAGATCAAATCAATCAATCAAATCAAATCAATCCAAAAAATCCAACAGAATCTCTCTCTCTCTATCTCGAAAAATTCTTAATTGAAAACGAAAACAAAAAAGAGAAAACTAAAGTAATTAAATCGGAAACGAAAGAAAAAAAACCATTACAAAAAACGTAAATCAAGAAGATCGTAAAAGAGAAAGCGAAATTGAAAGCCAAAATTTTGTGTGCCAAATGATAAAGAAAAGAATCAAAGTTAAAACGAAAACAAAGATCCTTTGCCAGGAACGAAATTTCGTTTTTGATTTTCGTTTTGTGTATGTTTTTCCCACCTATTAACCCCATCTCCACCCCACATCCACATCCATATCCCCATCCCCATCCCCATTCCCATTCCCAATCTCAATCTCAGTCTCATGCGAGCATTTGGCGCGTGCCGGACTTTAACCAGTTAGCAGGTGCTAAGTCGTTATGACTAAGGGCCATTTTGGTTGCAATCATCGAAGAAACGTCTGTGACTAAGATATCTCTGCCGATGCTGCTCTTTGGCATTGAACATCACGACATTAATCTGACGACAGTCACTCAGAGTGGGTCTCGCAGTTCCACTCAAATTTCACCTGCTGTTCGAAAACAGGTCCAGGAAATACTGAAAGAGTGAGATTTCCATTCCTCGCCTTGACCCACTAAAAGTTTCATTACCGTTCGAAATCGAACTACTCAGCTATATGGCATTTCTAGACCCATCTTTAGGGTTTTTCCATTGAGAACCGGTTTATCGGGCCCAGAGGAATGCCTTATTAAAAATACCTATTGAAATGGTAAGACTAAACCTGTTTGGGTATTTTTTTGCAATTCAACATTTAAGATCCTCCAGTATTAATTGAAAACTGAGATCACGTATTCTAAAATAATTTCAATTCTACCGGTTTCTAAAACAATAAAAAAGTGACACGACTACCACAAGGTCGATGTTCATTCCCTGTTGCGAAATATGTTTCATACGTAAAATATTTCCAAGTTTTTTGAAAATGTTCCAATTTTAAAAATGTATTCACAGTCAATGGATCACATTCCATTTCTCCGGAGTTTATAGTTCCCAACATTTTATTCAAGATATTGAGAAGACCTTGCTAACTGGTTATTCCCGGCTGCGCTGCACCTCCGATTTCAACTAACTTATATTATTATTCTTGTTATTATTCTATTCTTTCATGCTATCGAAGTAATCTTAATCCTACTCACTAGTTAAACTTCTAATTTCTTCTTTAGTACTTAGCTTCGATTCCATTTGTTAGTCAAACGTTTGATTTGCTATGCGTCTTTCGACTTGTGTAAATCCACACCCACACCCACTGAACACGCCCACTCAGTCACACACACCCGCAGACACACACACACGGGCATACACTCCTGACACGCTCCGAAGAGAACTCTGCATGCTAGAGAATCCCAGAAAGAAACCCTGCACACACTGCTTGAACTAGATCTTGCTCTTGCTGTTGATGATCTTGATCTTGAGCCGGGACTCGAACCCGCTGCATGCTGCGCGAGTAAGAGTGGGATGGAGCGATTATGGGAAGAGAACGAGATCTGTTCGCATGCGTAGAACACTTTTGGTCTTTCTTGTAGTCCACGCTTCTTGCTCTAACACATCTCATGCGCCCACCTTCTCATCTTTTTTTGTCAGGATACTGTCTTTAATAAGTTTCAGAGTCTAATAATCGATGGGGAAAACTCAACAGACTTTGAAGCTCGGGGTTGTCTCTCTCTTCACAAAGTGTCTTTCTAATCCCACAAAAGAAGCATTCGAAATAAATAAATGTTTGTTTCTAAAATCCAGTATACAAAACAAAACATTCGTCTTTCGATGAAGAATTGTGTATGGATGACACACGAAATCCTAAATGTGATTTATAAAATAAGCGTATTACATCAGCGACCCCAAAACAATTGTTGAGTCAAGGGCTAAGCTCAACAATAATCTCGTCTTAAATACTATCATGTGGCTTATCATTTGTTTTTGATCTTAATAAGGGACAAAAAAAGTAGTTCTACGAAGCAGTCGATCGCCCAGAAAAATATAGTAATTCTGTATGTTTAAAAACACGCTTTTTTAAATGAAAATTTATTCTGGCTGAAAAAACATTAACTTAGCCACCGGTTAACTTTTATTTTTGTTTTACAAATATTTTTTTTAATGAGTATCTGAACAGGATTTGACTCGGGACTGATGGGATCACTTTATTAATTATTCCTCGATGCTATAAATTGATTTTCGGGCATCGGAATTTCTTTCGTGCTTGATGTGAATACCAGCCAGATCACTGTTGGATTTAACATATTGCGTTGATTCCAGGGCATTTTCAGAGTCCACGAAACCAGCATTGTCATGGATAATCTCCTTCTTTTTTGCCAATCGCAACCATTTCTTTTTCTTAGAGTCGACGTTACCAATTTTCTTCTTTTTTGAGCTTGTCTTTTTTCTCCACTTCTTGCCGTATTTCTCCTCCAGTGCCTTATTTTTCATATCCAGTTCATACGACATTTGAATGTGCCAGAGATTTAGCGCCGTGTAGATAAATAAAAACATCCGGAAAAAGAGGACATAGCCAACTAAGAGGGCAATGGCGAACCAGGCATATCTAAAAACCGAATCCAAAACATTTGCGTCGTCCCATTGCAAAAATTTGTTCTTAATGAACTTAAAGATTAATGGGAAGAGAAGCATCCAGTACACAAAAACCGATATTAGTTCAATAAGTCTTTTCTCTAACATTTTAGTCGATGTGGTTCGTATAAAGTTTTGAAAACAAATGAAACTTAAAAAACAAAACCCTCTAAAAGTTTTAGTAATTGTATTACATCACGGAGAGGAACTAAAAACATTTTTGTGGTTTCGAGGCTTAGCTGAGACTAATCCTAATGGGATTGATTCTTAAAATGAAGCTTAATAAGTTTGCAACTTTTGTCAGCGATGAACAAAAATAAAATAAATGAATTATTAAAAATTTTTAGGTGAATCCATAGACAAGGTTAGTTCAAATAAAACAGTTCTATATGTAAATATATTAATATATTTGTAGGTTTATTGCCCATTACGGTTTTGATAAATACAAAAAATGGTTACTATTTATAATAATATTTACTAACTGATGCGGTTTTCGTTTATCAATTTGATCTTTAGCCAGTAGCTTTTATATGATCCAAAGTGAAACCTAGTATATTAAATACGACATTCATTTTTGGGAGACAATTTCTAGGCAGCTTTCACTCTTTACGTTTTTTATGTGGATGGGGGCTAGATCACTTCCGATGCTCAGAGTGCGGCTGATGGTCCTTATCAACGACGGGATAGTTGGTATACTCTGCCTTTTTCCAGACTCTAAGACATTAATGTCCCCTTTTTTATTATCCTTTTCGCAGGACTTTTTGCCAAAATACGCCTCCGGATCCTTTTTGGCCTCCTTTACTGTCTTCCACATTTTAATGTCCAGGATCTTCAGCTTCATATAACTAAACATGACTACGCGGTAAAAGACCACGTAACCAATCATATCACAGAGAACGAAGGCGCCGTTTTCATACAGAGTTCCCAACAGGTCCTCGGTGTCGATTTTTCTGACTATTGACTTCTCTTTGCAGTATTTAAAGATTATCGGAGTGATGACAAAGCAGTACAAGAGCAGAGTTATCACCTCCACAATTCTTTTTTGAAACATTACCGATCGATTTCTTGAAGTAGTTTGATCAAAGCTACGAAACCTTTTTTCACTCGCGCCCTTTCTAAAAACAAGAGTGATCCAGCTCTGGACAAAAACAAACTGCTGCTTTTCGAAAACAAAGTCAGACTCAGACCCTTCGCTCGCCTCAATTCTCCAGAGAAACATAAATCCGATTTTATCCGATTGTCAGACCGAATAGTTCCAAAAATATTTGCTCATTAAATTCTCTCCCAGAGAAAACATATTTATATAGTTTCACAAAAGATGCATTTCATTTATTTCTTTATATTAATTCACGCACATTACGCATAAGCGCTGCGATAAGTAGGTACACAGATAACAATAGCTGCCTTATGACTAGTAATAAATATATATTCACTAACTAAAGAATTAATTTAGCTCGCGCGAACGAGTTCACTGGAATGTGATAATTGACTAATTTCGTGTTTTTCGATTATCGATCTTTGGGCAGTAGCTAATACTTTATGCGGACTTGGTCCTTTTAAGTTGAGCTCAGAATCACACAAAACCTTCCACCTAACTTGGTGTTCGTTATTATGGGCCATGAGCTACCACTTCTAAGCACTAATCACTTCTGTCTACACCTGTTGAGGTCTGGGCATCAGAACCTTGGGAGACATAATCACGCCTTTGCTGTGCTGATTGGGCAGAATGGCACTCTTCTGCATTTGGGGCACGGGCGGGGCACACCTCAGGCTGGGACTCGGACTGGGGTGGACCTGTGCCTGCTGCAGCCTGGGAAGGGTGGCACTTTCCAGGGGCCGCGTCTCGTGTTTTATGTGAATGCGGGCCAGATCGCTTTCGATGAGCAGTGGATTGCTGATGGTCCTTATCATCTTCGGTGTCCCTGGCTTGCTCTTCTTCTTGCTCCCAGAGTCGACGACATCGATGTTCTCGGTGGAGACGGGCTGGTAATAGGATTTTTTGTCCAAATGTGCCTCCGGATCCTCCTTGGCCCGCTGCAGTTCGTCCCACATCCGGATGTCGCAGACCTTAAACTTCATGTAGATGAATATGATGATGCGGTAGAAGACGACGTATCCAATCATCAGGCAGAGGGCCAGGGTGCAGTGGTCGCCCACCGTGGCCACCAAGGAGTCGATGCTCATCCTGATTATTCCACTTTGCTTGCAGTAGTTGTAGATAGTTGGTGTGATGATCACCCAGTACACCAGCACCGTGATCATCTCGATAATCCTTTTCTGAAACATTGTGTCTAGGTGCGATTCGCGGTTCGCGCGCTTCGATGCGGTTTGGTTAAAGCTTCGTGACTAAATGACGCTCGCGTCGCCTCACGGCGCTATATATAAACATAAACCCTCGGATTACAACACCGACCACAATCGCCAACTACTGGGTCCCGAAGCCAAGCTCAGACTCAGGCTCTCGGCTCTCGAAGTGAGTGCATCGGGGGTCTCCAAGCCGGTTATCAGTCCGATATCGCTTTATCATTCGCTGTTTACAAAGCCACTTATGGCGCGTAAACAAATTGGATATACGTCACAAGTGGATCCCAGGAATACTTGCGCCATTTCTTGGAACTGGCTTTGGGGGTCGCCCTGGCAGGTTGCCACTTCTTCCGATTTCGATTCTGATTCCGACTTGCGATCGTTTTCGAATTTCATTTCAATACGCAAACAGGTTGAGTGACAATTTGAGCGTTTTTTTACCTGGCCGATTTGCATCTCTTAGATCATTTGGTAAGCCACTCAGGTCGACGGGCGAAATTTCGAGCTTGACTCTTGAAACTTGAGTCTTTTTTTTTTTGTAAATTGCGGCGTATGATTCATGCTGGACTTAAATAATTCATTATGTGATTTAAGCGCTTTGGTAAGGTAAATTGCCCCGCGTCTTTGTCTCCGAACGGTGATGAATTTTCGATATTATAAAATACTTTCGGCGTGATTTCATACCATACACGACTGCAGTACTAATATAGATAGTCTGCCATTAATTGTGGCTAATTGCAGTGTCGAAATCAATCAGATCGTTCTGACAGCCCGCAGTTTGAAACAGGTTGAAGGTGAATAATCTCAAAGAGAGAGTTCTTTCTCTCTGGTTAGTGTGTGTGTGTGGAACCTTCTCAGATATTCCCTTGGTGCGACATCATATTTCGCAGGTGTCTTTGGGACTTGCGTCAGTGGATGAGTTAGTTCGAACCGTGAATGAGTGTGATTGGATCAGAAAACCCAGGCCATTAGCTAGAGGCTGGTCGGACCGATCAACAACATGACTGGGCATTAATTAGCATTATAATCAGCCGCAGTGGGGTAGTTCACCTGGGCACGAGCCACTTGTTAAGTCGCCAAGAGCGAGAGGTCTGAACTTGACTTGCCCTACACCTGCTTCACTACCAGTTTCAGTTGCGACTTCCAGTTCAGTTCGACTTATGAATGGGAGTTACGAAAGACTCGTTCTCCGATCGGACTCATTTACACCACTATATAGTATAACCAGGCCAATTATCATATCGTTTCCATTCATTCATTAGAGTCCCCATTAGTCACCTACCGCCACCCCCTCCCCTACATCCCACCATACAGTACACGTTTTAGATACTTGTAGATGTACGGTTAGTGCTTGCATTAGTTGCATTAGTTTAACCCCACCGAAACTTCCGATTCCGAATCCAAACCATCATCTGCCTGCGCTTCCTTCGCTAATGTGCCAACAATTAATTCGCATCGATTGAAAGTATTTTTCGGTTTCAGTTCTCCGACAAAGTTTTTCCAAATGTTTTTGTGTTTTATCTGTTTCTTTTTGATTATAGTGAAGGCAAAATGAAATACAACAAAACTTCCCACTGCGCTTTGACAAATATCAATACAGATATAAAAAATACAACAATATGTGTACATTTTGTTTTAACAAAGCAACTGAAAAAAAAAATAAGAAAACCAAAAAGAAAGTCATATAAAGCTTGTATGTATAAAAACCAACCAAACTGTTGCAACAGACAAACAGAAAAAATTTCCAACGACCAAAAACGAAAAGTGTTCATCTATACGTATTTTGTTTCCTCATCTTCGAACTTATCATTTTGATTTTGTAATATACGACTCATGTGTTTCACCTCCGTAAAGGCCCCAAGTTTTGGCGGTCTCTTCAAGATACTTCCAAGATCGATCCTTAGCACCTACTTTCCTTCTGTAAATAATGAAAGTGTTAACCGCACCGATCGAGATGTTTATTTTGTTGCACCAAAACCTTCAGAAACTCTATATTTTGTACTGTCCAACATCCACTTTTGACGGAATGTCAAGAAGCCAATCGAATCTAAGTTCAAGACTGTCGATCTCTCTGAAATGTAACCCTCAGACTGTACTATATTCCATAGATCAGCTGCACAGTTTGATCGCAAGTGGTCCGTATATCGTAACGTATTTTGTTGGATGTTGTGGTAACTTATTTGATTTATATTGATTTTCCTTTTCGACATTCCTTGAGTTCATTATTGGTTCCGTTATCGGTTGATGTTTCCTGAGTTCTGTTCAGATATTGGCTCCCAACTAACTTGCACTTACCGATTCGATTAGTTCTTAAGTCACACAAACAACTACAACTACAACAACAACACCAAAACCAACACCAGCCACAAGAACAAGTACAACAACAGCTACAGAAACATGCGACAAAAGAAAAACCACAAGCTACACTCAACTGTAAATTTATACAAATTGCAATAATAAACTTTTCTTCTTCTTCTTTTCACCTTTTTCTCGAAATATGCTTACCATAACAAAAAAATAAAAATAAAAACAATTCCAAAACTAAATAACATTACACCGCTCTCTGAAAAAAATACCACAACTCGAAAAACTCAACCGAAAAACCAAAAAAAAAAAAATTACCCGTAATCCGAAACCGATACCGATACCGTAACCGTAACCCAAAACCGTAACCGCAAACCCACGCCACCCACCGTTCTCTCCGTTCCTTCACCTGCAGGGTAATGCGGCCAACTCCTCGGAAACATCGATGGCCACCCAGCCGGGCGGCTCCGTAACTTCGCGGGCGGCCAGCGAAACCCGCTCCGGTCCTCATGGATCGGGCACCGCGGGCGCCACAGGTAATAGCAGCGGCGGGGGCGGCACCTCGGGTAGTACTCAGACCGGTGCCAAGTTCCGCCACGGCCTGTTACAGCTAATGATACACACGATAGATCCACTACACGATGGTAAGTTCGTTGAGTTGCCACAGTGTGTTTTGCACAAGTCAAGCCAAATGCCAATATGCAAAAAAAAATAATGCTAATTAAAGTCCCCATAACGAAGTACCCCCAAAGAACCCTGCTTACCATTAACTTCCTTACCCACAATCCCAGTTCCAGTTTCAGACCCTATCCATCACTGAGAAGCAAATTATGCAAATCAAGTAAAATCATTAAAATCCTCTCTGAAATTGTCAGAAATAAACATGAATCACTTCAATTTAAAATTAGTTTATAGTAAAGATGCGATTTATTGTGCAGACACAACCTATTATCGCATTTGCAGCTGGTATACGAGGCGTATGAGTAATTTGTTCATACTTTTAAAGTCATACAGCAAAGCCTTTAATACAAATAGTTATTCAGTGTGACGCAAATAAACATAAAGATTATGATTCTTGGAAATTTTTCACTTTTTTCTTATTAATAACTCCCTGTCAAGTTCATATGGTTTAAGAACTTTAAGTGATTACCTACATTAAACAATGAATAAAGCAAGAATAAAACTCTTAATTGTACAGTTTGCCCTCAGTGCATTCCCAGTCCGCCACGCTTACATCCAAAATAAGATAAATACAAATGCAATAACATCCAACTCTACTCTATATACTATACTATATATACTACCTGTACCTGTACCTGTACCTGTTATCTATATCTGTTCTAAAGTAAAATTGATCTATTCAGTTTCGTCTTTTTCTTTGGTTTCTCTAAAACTCTGTGTAAATTCTGTGTTTCCTCTAATTGGATGTTTGACTTACCAGCCAGAAGTTATTTTCGCTCATCCTTCCACTTCTGCTGTTCTACCCAATTACTGTATCTGTATCTATATCTATGTCTTTGCTCCGATTTCCACTTCTACTTCCATTTCTCATTTGCGTTGCGTTGTTGCCTTTCAGTTCAGTTTTGTTTGTTTTGTTTTTCTTTCAATTTGGTTTAAGCTTTCGTTGCCTTTGGTTCACTTTTTTAATGGCGACCTTGGAGCCACTTACCTAATTAGCACGCCAGGCCCAGACGGAGCGTCGACTAGAATTAGAACCAAAAAAAAAAATACTCAGTTACTCAGCTAAGGCGATTGACAGCAGTAACCCTTTGATTTTGGGTGGGGCAGGAAGGCAAAAAGGTCATCGCGATATTGTAACTTCCCCACCGAATTGATTCTGTAGTTCTGCAAAGTTTCCAATCAGATTGGCACCACTTTCCACCATTGATTTTGGCATGGATTGAGTGTATCTACCCATGAATATGTAGGGAAGGTGTCAGTGTCGTTGCCACGGCAATGGCCCACAGAGAACTAAACGAATCGAAATGAGGCAGCTCAGGGGCGTGCTCGCCAAGGCTCGCAGGTGCGAAGTGTTAGAATTCGTGTAGCTCCAAGTGGGCCTACCTCAACTATTCTATTACACACATGTGAAGTATTGCTGGGGTTCCAGTCCAAAGATTCGAAACAAAAAACTACAAGACTAATTTCCATTTAAAATCGAACACTGGGTTTTAAAGAAAATAACTAGACAACAAAAATATTGAAAAAATATATATAAATTAAGAGATTGTAGTTGATTACTAACCTTATTAAGAATATATTAAATTGGACAAAATGCAATTACATATTGCTGTCATTGTTAACTGCCTGCAGGTATTTCAATACTAAAATTCCCCATTTACAATAATTAGATGATTCAGATTCTAAGCTGAAGTCAATCTCAATCAGAGTTTATTAGGTTAGGTAACAAATGTTTATTCCTTCGCCTTTAGTTGCTAATGCTTCACAAATACGCTATTTACTGATTTACTTTCGGCTTTGTTTTTCATTTTGTTGCAAACAAGAAAACCAAAAATAAAACAATAAAACAAAAAGAAAAGCAGAAAAACAAACAAGAAAAAAAAGAAACCAAAATAACGAAAATATTTTATGTTGTTCAATGTCAGTTTGGAGTTACATTTATACCAATATATCTATATATATATATACATATGCGTTATATATCTAGCATAGAGAACTTATCATAAATTCCTAGAGTTTGTGCGCGTAGTTCAATGGCATACGTATACGTACTGGCTAAAAAGCCCGCAAGATAAACTGCAGGTCTTAATATATGCCATAGTTGGAGTACCTATGTCATTGAATGCTGGATTGAGTTGAGTTTGACGCGTGACAAAAACAAAACAATTTATATTGTACATATATTAACTATGCGTTTTTAATGTTGTATGTGTTAAATGTAATCATTATCGTAATTGTAATTGAAATTGTAATTAGTTAGCAACTAGTACAATTGGCTCGCAGCAATGCTGTTCGAAATCGGCTTCGACTTAGACTTAGGGGCTCAGACTCAGACTCATACAATGCTATACTATACACCCATCCACACCACTCCACACCCGAGTAGATAGAAAACTATTTAAACTATTAACAAGCCTCGACTGCATGTGCGACTAGTCGAGCTTGTTTCAGGTTGTTTTTGCATAGGTCGGATCGCTTTTTGTCACTGGAATGTTCGTCATATATTGTTTACATATGTGTTTCTTTCAACTCGTTATGCTCGATGTATGGGAATTGTGTTTTTGGGCCTGCGCTGAGTGGAAATCCGGCAGAGACGGGCGGAAATCAATTTCAGACCCCCGATGGCATTGATCTCGATCGATCTGGGTAATTGCCCTGCCACTCCGGCACTGATTGCCAATCCCCAAGAACGGCCAAGATCGCAAGACCCATCCCGAACTAGTCGTGCTTTTGCTCAGTTCTCTGTATGAGCATGTTCTTCTCTAGGTCTGTATTAAAACCAAAGATAGACATATCAATACCTTTAAGAATCCTACCTCCAACCCCCCACCATGACACACACATGCGATCTATAGAAATGTAAGCTAAGATTAGATGTAAGTCTACCGGAATCGTGTACATATATACACACATATGTATATGTATATACCTAGAGCTACGCTAGAAGGGGTCTTCCAAAAGTAGAAATTTAGTCGATGATGATCCCCTGAGAAAATGTAAATTCAAAAGAGAACTTCACGCCGCATTGACAACAGAAAACCGAATTGAATAGAATCGAATTATAACCCATCAGAAAACCCCGTCCGATCCCCAAGCATCATTAAAATCCAGATCGAAATCGAAATCTCAAATATCTAATCAGCTCCTAGTGCAAAACACAAGTTCACACTCAATAGATCGAATCGGAACGATTCAGAGACATAAGTTAGACCAAAAACCCATGAGACTCTGACACGGTAAATATCTGTAGTGATCTCTAGACTAGACCTAGTTACTTTTAGACCTAGTTGTAGTCCTAGTCAGCTTACGAACCCCCTCCCTTTCAGCTCTCTGCTGTCCGCTCTCTGCTCTTCCCGCTCTCTTCCGCTCTACTCTGTCCTACCCCGTACTCTGCTCTATAGACTAGACTGTACCCCTAGCTATAATCTGTTAACTTACTCAAGCAACCTCCAAATGCTGTCTCGCAACTGACATCAACATTTTGTATAAAATATTTTCAATATACATATAGACATATATTTGCGTATATGAACGATCCAATCCAATCCCCTAAATGAGTAAATTTGATTGTAAATTAAAAGCTCTAAGAAAGAAACTAAATCTGAAAATGAAACTCGTAACTGGGTTAATTCGTTTATTTCTGATTTTAATCGATGCAATTTTATTCTTTCTTTTTCTTCTTTTTTTCTTTTGATTTTTCGCAAAAAAAAATACCAAACCAAAAAAATATCTAATAAAAATAAACACTTGGATTTTGCGTTTAAAACTCAATTCGTTGTGTGCCAACAAAAAACTGATAATCGAAATCGAAATCGAATACCGAATACCGTAACCGCACACACAACTACAAAATACTACAACGACAACACCGCTACTCGCCACACACCAATACCACAACCACCACCACACTCGTGTTTTGTGTACCAACAAACAATAAACAAAAACACTGCATTATTTATCGAAACACTCGCAAAATAAAAACCAAAAACCAAACCACACACAATTACAATGACAAAGATGATGTTCCAGGCAAAGTGGACGAGAAGGCGACGCAGCTGCACGCCATTGCCTCGCTGAAGGTTTTACTAGATGCCACCAAACCACAGCGCGGTGGTGCCACCACCTCGGCGGCCAACCACGTCAAGATCAACCTCAAGGAGACCACGTTGGCCGATCGTCCCAATGGGAACATCGACACCACCCTCGACTCGGTAAGTCCACCTGACCACTTCCGTTTTCCCCATTTGTATCCGTACAATGTGCTAATAATATAATGCTCATGATTTTCCTTAGGCATGACTTTTCGTTTCGAATATCCATTGATTTGATTTGAGTTTTCGGTTCTTGTCTTTTCGTTACAAACTGATTGATTGTGTCACACAAAATGCGCTGCATTCTTCATACAAGCAACAATTGATAGGTCAGGTTAAGTCGGTCTTCTGAATATCGTAAATCGGAAAGTAGATGTTCTTTAGAAAACTCTGTCGCGATGAAATAATATAATCACCGATGAATTAAACTAACCGGTTCTTCATTATTTATTTTAAGAGACTTATTTCGAATATCGTAAACGAATATCGTTTTCGAATGTCGTTAACGAATATCGTAAACTAATATCGTAAAAACTATATTTAAATTTATTAAAAAAAAAACATTGAATAGAACGATATGTTTCCTTAGGCAATCACCCCACAGGATAACTTACATCTAATACCGGTTGTCAGCTTAATGCGTTGTATTGTAAATCAGACTTTCCCCAATTTGATGTTTATCATATTTTACCAAACAGGGTTTAGCGACCAGTTCAAGCGACCTACCAAAATATACACACCATTTTCCAATTCTAGCTGTTGGCATGTTTCCTTTGCATTGCTAATCGATTGAATGATTGAGCAACTGATTGGTTAACTGATTGATGCAACGTTTGAACTGATTCTAAACTGAACCATGGTGTGTTTTTATTCCCCACCTAAATATATGTTTTAATGTATACTTCCCTCTCATTTTTTTGATGTTTTTCCATGTTCGTTTCCCACTGTTTTTTCCGGTTCAGAAATGTGAAATGCCTAAGCGCCCAGCGAAAAGAAAACAAATATACAAGAAAGATCTGTCTGTGTGTTTATGCAACGTTTATGTGTGACTTATTATGGATTTTGATTTACTTCTTTGACTTAAACTAAACAACGATTTGTGTCTCAATTATTTTCCATAAGACTGTTCAACCCACCCACCGCCCACCCATCCCCACCACACACACTTCTCTCTCTCACACACACACACACACCACACACACACGCCTCAACTCTCCTCCTGTCTACCCCTCAACTTTCTTTCATTTTGATTGTGTATGTTTATCTCCTTTACTTTCGGAGTATCTTCATGCCCCATTTCTCCACTCTCCATCCATCTCTATCGAACTATCTATCTATCTATAACTCTGTGTGTGTTTTGTCTTGCCCAAGATTAAGAAGAGCTAATTCGGAATAGTGAAATTTTTGCATACTCGTATACCGTATGAACCATTTGGAACTCATTTGCTTTGTGTCTTTACTTGATTTCGTTACTCGTACCTAGCGTTAAACCATCCACAAAAAACATCTACAGTATATACCCAGTTAAAAACCGAGGAGAACCAAAGTCATTACAGCGCCTTGCATATTATAATTTCCATTCATATTTTACTAATGCGCGATGCAATCATTCCAATGCAAAGTAGCTGCGCCCAAAACCACAGATCCGCTCAGTATTATACCACACCCACCCACACAGCGTGTGTGCTCATATATCGTACATCGCGTATCGTAATCGTTGGCATTTTGTTAACGCGAACATTCTTATGCATAGGCGCAAACACTTGGCTTTGGCCCCCCATCAGCAATATCAGCAAAAGCAGCAGCCTTAGTAGCATTGAATTCCGGATGCTCATTGCGGACACAAAATACCCTACCTTTTGCTGAGGGTCGCTCAGTTCCGTCATCTTATCAAAAACATCGTATTATTGTCTGTCCTTAAAGCTGGTTGAAAACGATGCAGCGGTCGTTCATGCAATTTTGAACACAACATTTTTAGTTTTCACGCTGCACAAACTTTTTAACAGCCGCTTCATATTTACGAACCAGCTCAAAAAAGCCAATGGTTAAAAAAAAGTCCGCGTTATGTAATTACATTTAAAAATTCCTCCATCTGCAAGAGTATTCAGACTTCGGCTTGCCGTTGACAAACCCGCTTCCTAGTTGGTTATTAATTACATTTTTTGTTTTGATTTATGCAAAGATCACAAAGCAAACAAACAAAATTCTGAGGTGCTGACTCGCCTCAATTACTGCGACCTCATTTGAATTCGACTCACAATTAGACACAACATGGCTGGCCTCAAAGGCCGCATTGAACCGAATTTTCCGAGTTGGGCTTCTGTCTTAAAGAAAATAAAAAGAAAATCCTAAAAAACAAAAAAAAAACAGTGTTACCCACAACCAGCAAATTGTGTTTGTGTTTCCACTCTTTCCCGCTCCGTATGTGTTTGTTATGTAACCCCCGACTACCCACACTTCTTCTAAACATTTTGAACAGCCTTCTTTTCAAACTGTCTATCTGTCAACCCCCCAAAAGTCTTCTACTTTTCTAACAGCCTAAGTTTTAACCAAAGTTTTATTTCCATAACTGATCTGATTCTGAGGACTTGGCCCTGAGATCCAAAACTTTATGTTTTCAAATCACTATATATATGTACTTATAAATGTGAACTCTTCTCCCAAACTACTTGTCATATAAATTTATAATGTATCTTGAATAATCAACCTAAAGCCATCGTTGAGTGGTCGACGTCCTAGCTGGATTGAGCAGAGGGTCAAAATTCAGACACGCAAATTTAGCATCAAAGTTAGTTTCATGAACAATTTTTATTGATCTTTCTTATCTATCTTTCTCTCTATATCTATCTATCTTCGCTCTTCTATATATTGCATTCAAATCTTTATAATTTTTTGCAACAAATATATCGTAAACGACGAAAGTATTTTTTTTTTCATTTCAATTCAATAACAATGAAAATATCAGACAAATGCACGCGAGTCGTACACAAAAGCTCCTTGGCAAAGGCCTCGTTAAAATCCTATTGAGAATTTAGTGAAATATATACATATTTAAAAGTTATACAAAGTCGGAGCTTGCTTCAATTTTAATGTTGTTACTGCTTTCAGTGATTTATTTGTGGTTTATTCTGTGGTTTTTGATTTAATGTTTACAAAATGCAATTTCCTTCCGTTACTGATAGAGGTTTGATTGATCCGTCTGTATTGTACAAACATAGCATTTGCCTGGAATTAAAATACACCAGAATATCGAATATCGTAAATGAAATCACCTCGAGTTGAACGATGATTAATTATATTTGCCCAGAAAGCCAAGTCCAAAAACCGCAAATGACTCAGCCATATCTTTACCCCTTGCTGGATTATAAAAAAAGAAATATTCTTGAAATAGTTGGGGAAATTGAGTTGCTAGCCAGGAGCGTGGAGTGTAGACCGCATATAAATTCCCACTTAGTGGATGCACTTGCAAAGCCTCTGAGAATCGTCACAAACTAACCCAAAAAAAGAACACACATTGTTGCTTCCGTGTGACACACATGTATACTTCGAGTAGCGTTAAACCTTAGTGATATGAAACCTAGTCTTAGACACTCCTTTTTAACCAGTTTTACTTTCTACTTTCGTTCACCATTGATCGACCTTGTAGACTGTGTCTGTGTGTTGTTGCACTTGCAAGACTAACTTGAGCATGCCCACTGTACCAATGCACCACTGTAGTACCACTGTACTTGCGATGCTGATAGAACTCTGCACGTTTTATGTCTAACCATCTCTCTGAGCACAAATCAGTATCGTATCGTAATTGTAGTCCTGCTAGAAAGTAAGTGCACCCCTTTGAACTCGAACCACACTAAGTATCTTGATCGACACCGAACCCACTCTGATCCCGCCAAGCAAGCTCTAAACGCCTGTCTGCGCGACCCCGCCGGGGAAATGAAACCCAACCAAATCCAAACTAAAACTAAACCAAAACCAAAACAAAAACCAATCAACATCGTTCGTAACTAATTGCAAACCCGAAAGCGAAGCCAAATTTGTACTATGACAAAAGCTATCCCGTAACCGACTCATGCCCATCTGTAAACATAGCTCAGAAAACATTCCACCTCAGAGACCCCGACCTCGAAATCAATCAACCACCTTCAACCACTGGTGAGCGGGCTTAACCGCTCCACTCACCCACAGCCACACCCACACCCACATTTTTACTATATATTTTATACAACAAATTCCGTATTCCGTATTACATATTCAATATTATATATACCCATATACTACGGCTAAATACTAACAGACTTCAGTCCAGTTCGGTCCAAGTCGCTAATCGCCAATCTCTCCCTTTGCCTTGACTTGACAAAAGGCGCCCGAAATCGAGGATGATCCGGAGCCCCTGAGCATGGCCTGGCCGGACACGGCGCGGAAGCGGCTCACCTACGTCCTGGTGGCCCCGCTCCTGGTGCCCATGTGGCTCACACTGCCCGACACGCGGACGCCCCGCGGCAAGCGCTTCTTTCCGGTCACCTTCATCGGCTCCATCGTGTGGATAGCGGCCTTCTCCTACCTGATGGTCTGGTGGGCCAACGTGGCCGGCGACACGGCGCGCATTCCGCCCGAGGTACACTCACAAAAGCAAATATTGGGGAGGAGACAATTGAATTTAGTCCCCAGCCTTGAATACTTAAATTATCTTTATTAATATAAACAAACCATCTTCGAAACAAAAACTTTCGGTGTAAAGCAGAAAAACATGCCATTAAATAGAGACAGATAAATGATAATAATTATTGAGAATAATAATAATTTGCCAATAGCAATTGTCTGATATATGTGCTTTCAGCTAATATAAGGCTATTAGCAATTTTATCAGGTCTTTAGCCTGAAGTAATCATGCCTTTTATAAAATTATATACTTTACAAATGGCAGCGTCACTTTAAAAAAATAAGCTTATATTTTGTTTAAGGAAAAATTACAATTGCAATGTGTAAAGAATTCTTATACTTTGCCATTAATTTATGTACAACGTTTTCTATCATTTTTAACCAGAGTGTGGTATAAATCCCCCTGCGGACTATAAATTTAAAATATGCGAAAAAAAAGAGTGCATTTTTAATGGTTTTGTATACAATGAAATATAAATTCGAAAACAATATTGCTAATTGTAAGCTTTTCAGAATTTCCATAATATGGTCTGGAAATGTTAAAATTACCTTTTCAAAGAAACTATAAATTATGGCCTACCAAGAAATTTCCTCTCTAAGAGCAAAAACCATAAATAATGGCTGATTTTCTATTTAGGAAGTACTCCTTGGTGTATGAGTTCTGCACACCCTTTGCCCGCAGCTGATTAACCCTTCTACCCATGCTCTTCTTTCCCCGATAGGTCATGGGTCTGACCTTCCTGGCGGCGGGCACATCCATTCCGGACTTGATTACCTCGGTGATTGTGGCACGCAAGGGATTCGGCGACATGGCCGTGTCCAGTTCCGTGGGCAGCAACATATTCGACGTGACCGTGGGGTGAGTAGTGGTACCGCCAGTTGGCCTCTAGCCAATCCTCCGTATCTAACTAACTAACGTCGTTGAACACCCATCCTTGCCAGCCTGCCGATCCCGTGGCTGCTGTACGGAATCATCTACGGGGCGCCCGTGGAGGTGAACTCGGTGGGCATGGTCTGCTCCATAACCATCCTGTTTATGATGCTGGTGTTCGTGGTGATGTCGATCGCCTGCTTCCGCTGGCGCATGAACAAGGGGTTGGGCTTCACCATGTTTCTGTTGTATTTTGTCTTTGTCGCCGTGTCGCTGATGTTCGAATACGACCTGATCACTTGCCCCTTTTAAGGGCAAGGGCAAAGACAAAAGTTGGCAACAGTTACCGAGTTAGCCGAGTTACCCGAGTTACCAAGTTACCCGAGCTATCGATCCACCAAGGATGTCCGGATGCCGCCGAGGACGAGACAAGGACCCCGTCTGTCTCACACCCAATTAGCTAAATTATATACAAGCAAATTAATTAATGATTAACAAATGAATTAACAATGGACTAAAGCTAAATAATCGAATTGTTAAACAGACACAGATGCAGACAAACACCGCCACAGAATCACCCACAGATACACACCACTACACACACCATACACACACACACACACACACGTGCGAAAGCGATAGTGAAATAACGAAATCGAATACTTAACGTTAACAAATGCGAGTTAGTTAGTGCCAGCGTTTCTTTTTCGAAAGACATTTACTTTAAAGTGTTTAGCGCAGCTTTTTAACGCAAGCAGACCCCCCCAAACCCCAAACTACCCTTAACTCTATGAATCTATGAATCTTTGCCCCCAAAACTATCGTATCTATCTACGACCTACTACCAAAAACTAGCGAGAAGGAAACACGACAATGGCTTCCCAACCACTACTAACTATCTACCTAACGTTTGGGTTTTAACTACAAGCATAAGAAACCAGCAAAAGTATGTATCTACAAATATATATGATTATCTCGGCACAAGGCACCCTATATACGGTACGATACGATACGATATGATACGATACGATACGATAAAGGAAATCAGCATCCAACCAAGCGATCAGTGCTAATGTTTTGTGTTGAGCTCTTTCGGTTCGATCGATCGATGTCGATCGAGCGGAATGCCTTTCATTTGCGTGCTCTACTAAGATTTCTCCCAAAAGCTTTATCCAGAGCCTATCTAAACTCTATCTAGTTTACGACTTATAAACATAATACTTATATACCCACTCACACGCACACTTACATGGCATACTATATATTGACCTGTATTGATTAAGTGATAATTTGCGTACTTATTGAACAAGCAAACGAACAAATCGAAAACTCTCAAAGTAAGCTACAATTGTACTCGAATTCAAAACAAAATCGAAACGAATGTAGGGCGTACTTTAAACATTTTGCTAAAGCATTTGCCGTGCATCCAGACCAGAGCATTATGATTATCGATTCCAGTCCGATGCTTTTTCTAATTCTTATTCTAGTTATGATTATGATTCTAGTTCTGATCCCGATTCTAGTTCTAATTCTAATTCTGATTCATGTTGGCGTGTAGCAGGAGCAGAGTTTAAATTTAACTTTAAATTGAAGCCATATTTATTATAGACTACTTCAAATCCAAAAACAAAAACTAAGCCTACAAAAATCCAAAAAAAAAAACCTATTTCATATACTTTTTGCTTAATGAAGTCCCCCAAGTACATATATATGAGCATATTAACGTATTTATATATAAACGACATATAAGACGATATTTAACGAAATATGAAACAAAATCAACTTGCTCTCTTTATTTAGAAAGTACGTAACATTTTTCTAAACTAAAAACCCTAAACTCGTAATACCAAGTGGCCGCAAAACCGAAGAAATGCAAATGGAAAAGAAACCCAAATAATTTAACATAAAACGCATACATATATACACCTAAATATAAACATACATACATATATATATATATATATATTTTATATATACCAGAAGATAACTTACTATATATATATGCAACTATACTTAAGTAGGCAATGTATCTAACGGATATCCGACGTTTGCATATGGCTCGCAGTCAAGTTAAGGAAGCGACAGAACAGCACACAGATACAGATACAGATACAAACACACTCGTACACTCAGAACAAAAAGCAATAATTTTTATTACCAGTGAATTAGAGGAGGCTGCAGTGGCATCGCACTATATGCATACTCCTATATGTACGACATGCGATAATCGACACCCAAATCTGTACACTGAAGCCAAGTCAGGTCGGCAGTGGTAACGCATCGGAAATAATTATATATGCATTCACATTCGCAGAATTATATACTGAATCTACTGAGCAATGCGATGTGCAGAATTAACGTAACTAAGTGGCTGCTCTTACACCCCATGGGTGCAGTGCATTCGATTGCACACAGATATGAATATACATAATTAAATAATAATATAATATACGCATGTAGGATATGGACAGGTCAGAGGTCACAACAGCAGAACAGGAGCAGTGCGAGGATTGTCAGGGAACGAGGTGGAGACAATGTATAAATCTCGAAGGACCCACATAGCAGACACCACATCCCTTCATCTGCCCAAGAGTAATCCTTGTACCGATCCAGCGGAGAATTGGCTGAGAACTTCTTAGGGGTTCTCTCAAAGCCTCAAGATGTATACTTTCAACTTATAAATTAAATTGGCTTATTCCGAATATGCATTTTGTATGAATACCAATTTAGGTAGACCAAAAAGAATTAATGAACCTATAATACCCAATTGACTTTCAATTTTATTTTATTGCCTCTACTGTTATATCAAATATATTCCTGCCCCTAAGTTTCTTTAAATTTTAAAATCCCACTTACATTTCTTCAAAATAAAATAAGCCTTTATCTATATTGGCACAGCTACTATACCTCTTTTCTATCTGGTTAGGTCTTTACATTATCTATAACAATTGATTAACTTTCCACTTCTTCCCTAATTTTGTATCTCAGCCACTCCAAGCATTTCTCAATGTAGCTCTTAATTCCAAAAATGGTCGACTTTAGTCCTTCTATATTGATATATACGACCTGGTATCGTATATATCCCAACTAGCAAGCTCACTTCTCACGAGTAGATTGCCTCGGTCGCCAGGCTTTAACAGAGACAACTTCCAAGAACAAACAACAAATTAACTTAAACTTTTATACATGCTGTATGTTAAACTAATGACAACAAAGGATACCAAAAACTAAATCGAATAGAAAAAACCTAAAAAAATATCTTCCAAATTAACTTTAAAACCAAGTCATATTTATTATATAAAAATAAAATACTTGAGAACGAAACACTCACACTTAACTACATCTTATTAGAACCTAACAAGAAAATGGAAAAGCACACCCAGCAATTACTTGTACTGAAGATTTCCCTCTTTCACACACACAAACACACACACTCGCATCTAAGCTATCACACACATATTCAAACATATCGCGCCCACTTTTCTATCTTAAATGGTACAAATCCGAATAAGGGATTTACGATGTCCCGAATGAAAACACACTAACATTGAGAATTGAGAAATTGTTAACGAATTAAGACGTTTGGCTTTGTGATCGAAGCGATTGTAACGTGGAAATTCTCTCATTGTTAACCAAAAAGTTATAGAAAATGCAATAATCGGTATCCCATTGGGCATCTCCCCCTAAATCCTGCCCCATCCATCCCATAAGTCCTTCCAAAATCATTCACCAACGACGCACACACACCACACAAAATTGTCGAGTGGCGTAGAAGTCTCGCTTTAAAGCAACGTAAATAAGAGGAAATATATACAAGAAATATATATATATACAGATATATATATATATATGAAATTGTTATGGTTATAGATTTTTAACAAGTTGAATAATTGCGTAAAAAGTAAAAGTATAACAAAAATACAAAAAAATTGTTGAAACATTAGCAAAAGCGTTCATAAAACATAAACGAAGCGTAAGAATGGAAATAATAATAATAATAACGAAACAGAACAAACCAAATCGAACCGAAAGATATAGTAATGCTATATATACTTTATGAAATATTTAACTATGAAAATAAAAATCATTGTTTGAAATTAAAGTGAAAAAAGTAAACTTACAAAAAAAAAAAGCCCAAAAGAAAACAAATTTTGTGTTTGCTAATTTTGTGTCCTTGACCAAATTTTGAGTTTGCAGAAAAATCAACCGTAAGTATACCCAATTGATTCTTATGTTTTAAACGTAATTGGCATGATTAGATATTCGATGTTCAATGTTCGATGTTTTCAAATGAAATTAGCAAACACAACAAGCACAGACCATTCGGAAGCATTTCTAGATATCTGGCCGTACTAATCACGCTCTCGAGTCAATCACCTATAACAATCGTCTTGATCAAGAAATACCGAAATACCGAATTACCGAATTACCACATAACGTCTACGAGTATAAACGAACGAGCACATAATCATTAATTTCAGCTTTAAATAATCTACGAACTAGACCTAAACCGTATATGGAACACACGGATATTTATTAACTTTTATAAGCCAGTATACGTACCATATAGCGAGTGGTATCCAAGTGGATTACTTTTTTAATACTTAATACGACTACGAATACAAAATAGAACACGTGAAATGCAATGTATGCAATACTTATATTCGATTATACAATATTTAGAGACCGTTTCAAGTTGCGTCCGTTGTTTAGACAGAGAAACACAGCAAACAATAAATTGTCAGTCAGTTGCCAGCGGCTTCGATTTGATTTGAATTTTGATTTGGATTTTGATTACCGAAACCAAACGATTACCGATTAACGACAATGCGAATATGAAGCAAACATGATATGATATATATGAATCCAGTAAAAAGTAATAGTTAACATATTGGTAGACTAATTTAAAGATTTTATAGCGTTTTCAAATTTATAAGTGTATAAACCGGATGCGTTTATTATTTGTAATGCCAGCGATCAGCCGATCGACATCGAATGTCAGCATATATAGCATATATAGCGCGTGAACATATAGCCGTCGTGTGTAATACAGTTATCATTACCCACCAAAGTATATTTTGCGTTGTTGAGTTTCGATCGTTGTACTTTTGAATTTTACCTTACGAGTGTGTATTTTTTCGAAACAAACACCAGCGGACCGATCGATAGTGGCGTGTAATTAATGCAGACGGGTGTGTAATTTTAATAGCGAACAATGAGAGTATTATAATAACAGACATTAATTTTAACAACTGATACGCTTCTAGCACATAAGATTGTACAAATGATTTATACGAATAATACGATAAACCATGAAAAGAAAGCGGAAAAAGAACAAAGTCGGTTCAGATATTCAGTTGACCCAGTCTTTAAACAAAGCCTCTTAGTCATAGAAGGAGTAGTTCCCCTCCCTCCCCAAGATCCCAATCCCCAGCTGATCTCACTATATATCTTTGTGGCGAACCAGAGAGCTCGAATGATGAGTATTTATGGTGGAATACAGCAAGTTATTTACTTTATACAAGTACGTCTAGTTAACGACATTTAGATTTTATACAAAACACACCCAGTCACACGCAGTCATTAGTTCCCCGACCCAAACCGAACCGAACCGAACCCCCCCTTCCCCCAGCAGACTCATCAGTTAACAGAGATCATCAAAATCGAGCGAGGAGTAAAAACAAATCAAATATATAGTCAATTTCTAACGATACATGCAAACATATATGGCTGGCACTCAAGATATATATATAAAACAAAAGTATATGAAGTTATATAAAGCATTTTAAGGATCGTAAACTGGAAAATGAGCAGATAGATCGGGGTGGAAACCACACTTATGTAAATCAAAACGAAGCTATAGCGAATAAACCGAAATGTTAACTAGTTATTTAGGTGAAATATACAACAAACCACACTCAGATGCAGAGGCAGATGCAGATGCAGATACATATACATTTACATCGAACCGTTAACAAGGCTTTGAAAGCTCAGAAAAAGATGAATTACTCAAGCAGACACTCGAACACGACACAAGGACACGAATGTTAACGACGGGTTAAAATCCGTAAAAACCAGAGTTGTAGCAGAGCCGCAGCAAACGAAAAAAGGGCCGTTTAATGAATTTTTGTTATCAACCAAGAAAACAAAACGAAATGCGACTGCAGTAAGCATGTTGCGAAAACGAAAACAAAAACGAAGTTAATGTTCAAACTAACTAATATATAACGAATATTATATAATACAACAAACTTAGACTGTATGTTATTTTCTCAATACAATATCTATAAAAAACAATAAAAACAGATTCAATAAAATGAGTTATCCAATGGCAATGGGTGAGTGTTTTCCATTTAATTTTAAATTTTATCTAAATACCACAACCACAAGCTATATTAATCATTTAATACAAATGTGGACTTTTTTTTTTAATTTATATATTTATACATTTATTTACCTTAAAATTTGTAAACCAATTTAAAAATTTATGTTTATGGTTTTTAGCTAGGACTAATTACATATTTCACCCTAATAAAAGCTCAGAAATGACTTATGTTAAATAATTTAATATTTTTTCCAAAGCAACAATTTAAAAATGTTTAACATATCATACAAAATTCTTAACAAATTATGTTTAAACTTCAAAATTTCCCGCCTATCGTGGCAACGATTTGTTATCGCTCATTTTTGCGTTTCCGACTATGTTTGAGTCGACGGTGAATTTCTAGCCGAGTTACGTACCATTTTCATTAAACATGGATTATCTGGGCACATTTTCGTTTCGCCTTTTTAAAGTGAAACCGCGGGCACACTTCCTTTCCACGCGACCAACAACACAAAAAACGTGTGTTTTGGTTACCAGCGTGTTTTTCTTTAAATAAATCTGCACGAAGCAGATTTCACTTGACGAAAAGGACATTTCTATAAGCCGGCAAAATGAGGCGACCCAAGAAGGTAGGTTTTGACAGGGTAGCTGGATCGTCTAACGATTCTTTGAGGTTTAAGGTTAAGGTTACTTGAGACCCAACAAACCATATGGATATTAATGTTTTTCAACATTTCTAGTACGAATCCGGCGAGGCTACGCAATATATAAGTCGGCGAGCTGCCCTCAGAAAACTTCAGCTCTCCCTGAACGATTTCCGCAGGCTGTGCATCCTGAAGGGCGTTTATCCCAGGGAACCGAAACATAGACGTAGGGCCCAGAAGGGATCCTCGGAAATTAAGGTCCTGTACCACACTAAGGACATACGCTTCCTGCTGCACGAGTCGATTGTGTGGACGCTGCGTGACTACAAGGTATGTTAGCCCCTAGGTTTTGATGAATCCACCAGGTTTAATTACCCTTCCCAATAATATTATACAGATCTTTGCCAAGAAGAGCAATCGTGACCGCGCCATTAAAGATTTCCGCAATCTAAAGCGACGCCTGGCTCTGTTTCCTGAAATCAAACTCGATCACATTGTCAAGGAGCGCTATCCCACCTTCATCGATGCTCTGAAGGACCTGGATGATTGCTTGACCCTGCTCTTCCTGTTCAGCACCTTTCCCTCGCTGCACTTGATTCCCAGGGAGCAGTCCAATCTGTGCCGTCGCCTGACCATCGAGTTTCTGCACTATGTGATCGCCTCCAAGTCGCTGCGCAAGGTCTTCATCTCCATCAAGGGCTACTACTTCCAGGCGGAGATCAAGGGCCAGAAGGTCACCTGGATTGTACCTCACTACTATCCCTTTAAGCCACAGTCCCGCCAGGAGGTGGACTTCAAGGTGATGTCCATCTTTGTTGAGTTCTACACCATTATGCTGGGCTTCACCAACTTCCGGCTGTTCCATAGCCTGAATCTGGCATATCCCCCTCAGTTCCCAAGCAGCGTGCTTCAGGACAGCGAGGAGTCGCTAAAGGACGAGGCCAGCTTCGTCTCCGACCGCATTGCGGCGCTAAACTTCGAGCTGCTGCGCACGGATAAGGTGCAGGAGGACGAGGAGGAGCTGGACATCGACATGGAGTTGCTGGAGCAGGACGGCGACTCGAAGCGCATCATCAAGATGAAACAGGAGGCCCAGGAAGTGTCCCGTCTGCGCACCCTCTTCAAGGGCTTGAAATTCTTTATCAACCGCGAAGTTCCTCGCGAACCCCTGGTCATCCTTATCCGTTCCTTTGGCGGTAAGGTGTCCTGGGATTCGTCTGTCTTCGCTGGCTCTGCCTACGATGAAAGTGATGAGACCATCACCCACCAGATCGTAGACAGGCCCAGCCTGGCCACGCAGTACATCTCGCGTGACTATGTCCAGCCGCAGTGGCTCTTTGATTGCGTTAATCAGCGCCAGCTGCTGCCCACCAACAAGTACTTCCTTGGCGAGAAGCTGCCGCCTCACTTATCGCCATTCGTGGACTCCAAGAGGGATACTTATATTCCGCCCGAGGAGAAGGCTCTTCTGGATCCTTCCCTGATCGAAACTCATGGTAAGATATAGAGTAGAATAAACCAAAAACATTTTAATTAAATACTCCCTTCTTTCACAGCCCAAAGTGACGACGAGTCCGAAGACGAAGCCGAGAAGGAGGAGGAGGAGGCTGTGGATCAGGAGCTGCTCGATGCGCAGCTGCAGCTTGCCTACCAACAGGAAACCGCCGAATACAAGAAGTACGGCGGCCAGGATGGCGTAAACGAAGACGAGGAGGATCCCGAGGATGATGATGAAGAAGACGATGATGAGGAGGAGGAAGAAGAGGTCGACGAGAAGACCAAGCGCCTGCAGCAGGAAAAGCAGAAGATGTCCGTGCAATCGGGCAAGGTACACAAGGTCAACAAGCGTCAGGTGCACAAGGCCGAGGTCGACGAACATCGTTTGCAGGCGCGCATGGTGAAGCCCCGCCACCGCAACCTATTCCGAAAACTCATCCGCGAGAAGCAGACCAAGGAAAAGGAGGAGTGGCTGCTGCGCAAGAAGCGACGAACCATCGAGGCCGGCGAGAAAGAGGCCCGGAAGACGGCCAAGCGGGAGGCGCGCAAAGAGGCGGCGGCCGCTGCTGCCAAGGCTTCCAAGCTGGGCAAATAAGCTGGCAATCGGCTCGGGGGGTTCTGTGTCTTGATTTAGGTTTAAACAATAAACAATGAAAATATAAAATAAAACTAAATGAATTCTATTTTACTCCATAGGTCGTTTCATATTACATTCAAGTATTGTTCATCTTTCTCAATGTAAAAACTTGAAGGTTTCGAAAACCATTTTCAACTTCGATAAAAAATGAGTCTGCTCTTAAAATATCTGAAACAAAAAAAAACCAAAGAAAACGTTCAATGAAGTGAATTTTTTTATTTTACACATTGTTAGGAAGGATTTTATATTTTACAGCATGGGAAAATAATTACATTCTGTATTAACTAGTAGAGTTAAACATAAATGTATGTTTGCAGCGTTTAAATATAATTACAATTTCTTTAAGGTTTAACAATATTAAGTGATTTAGTTCCCTTCTGAAGATGCATAAAATACATTTTATAAACAATTAAAATTTAAATATAATGAAATCCAATATATTTTGGAAGCATACTTTTGAAAACTCTATTTCGCATTCTAAGAATAATTAAACAATAAATTTATGTGCTTAGGGAGAGGGATACAATAAAGGCGGCTGTCAACAGCAACTCAATTTCTTTAAAGGGATAAATCAAGCAATAAATCATTTTTTATCAAAGCTTTCAATAATTGTGGCCATTTCAATGAACACAAGGTATAGAACATTATTTTTTAAGTGGCTCTTTTCAGTCCAGAAAATGGTGGGATTCTGACTAAGAATTTCTAGGCCCAGCCACTGGAAAACTTATAGAATTATTTGTGTGTATATCGTATCGAATTAGCACTATGTATATTGTATATGCCCTGACGCAGTCCAAGTCTGTCGTGGTTCCTATTAGTCTACTTGTATATCGATCGCTAGTTGAGTTCCTAAGTCAATTATTTCCGTTAACAAATGCCAAGATTCCATCAAGCTTCTATTGTGACTAAATCCTATTTATCAACCTAGTCGCTATCGCTATCCGCCCCGCCCGCCGCCCCCTCTTCGTCATCATCATCATCGCTATCTTCTAGTTCTGGCATCGGGAAACGAAGTAGGGCCGCAATTCCAGTCAGTTGAGCAAGTTCTGTAAACAAGAGATTGGGATTATTCAGTAGACTTTGTAATAAATATAATTAAAATAAGTAAAAATTGCAAAACTGAGCTGATTTCTGTTATCTGAACGTTGAAAACCAGAATATCAAGTAAACTACAAAGATTAAAGCCATCACAGCTTGATGTGAGACAACTCTCAATCTCAGAACTGCAGTAGCCCATGCAACTTTTGCATTTTTTGCCCATGTTGTGGGCGTTTCTGTTGTCCAATCTCAAGGCTCACCGGTTGTTCTAGGCCATGACTCACCGAGTGAACTTCACATTCATCTCGGCCAGAGTGAACATTACAAATTCATGGGTTTGCCCAATTACCTCGGGATTAATGCAGGTTCTGTATCAAGGCAAAACCATTTGTATACTCAAGTACCGCGTTGCCAGGCCTCTTTATCTGTTAAATTTGGTTTTGTTTACAGAAGTCGCTTCAATGTTTGTATACTTATGTAATTTAAAGCTGATTAAAATACTCAGCGGGCTACAATTCTCACTAAATACTTGCTAGGAGATAAGAATGGGAAGTAATTCAGAAAGAAAGAAGCAAAATTCGATAAGGAGAGATCGTTACAACTAATCTGTTGCAAAAGCTACAAAGTCTGGGGGGATCTATTTTGGAACCCCAACGACCCATTTTCGAGCCGAAAATGAAAATCTTGCCAAGTCGCGAGACTAAAACAACTCAAAAAAGAAACTCGAAGAAAGAATCACATCTTGTGAGTCACCTGCGAATGGCTATTTAAAGCATTTAAGCACTTTACGACCCAAAAATATTTGCAATATGTAAATGCAATATTAATTAATTCTTATTTGCATACGAAAATGAAAACGAAAGTTCCCGTACGAATGAGATAGCAAAAACTACTTGGCAGCCTTTCAATTCAGTTTGATGATGTGTTTTTGCTCATCTCGCAATGGACTTTGTAATGTGGGAGACCCCTCCAAGAAACACAAATATGCAAGCACATATATACAATATTTGTTACGGGTAGAGGCACTGCATCGGGGGACTTAAAAATAAAGCATAGAAATGGACAAAGGTGGAACAAGTGTGATGTAAAGCATTTTCAGCTGGAGATGATCTATTTTTGTCCTAGAAGGGCAGTTGCTTCTCGTTCTATGAGTCATTGCGAGTTTCTCTTCTAAATAGGAGATGAAGAAGTTCTCGAGTTCTTCTAAAAAGACACAAGATTAAAAGGTGATTTCCAAGTTTTTCTGTTCTTTGTTAAGTACATAATATATGTTGTGATCTTTACATATTTAACTGTCAGAAAGTCATTGTTCTACAATTTAAGTTAACTATAAGTGTGTTTGTGAACCTAATTAATTGATTAAAGAAGTTTTTCTCGGCACTTCATGTAGAGTAAAATACCAACCGTTGATATTTACGTTTAGGTTTATATTTAAAAGATCTTTATAGATATTCAAGTTATATATTGGGGAATGATACTCACGTTCTCCTGAGATGTGCATACTGGAGAAGATTTTCACTTCGCCTCCGGCATCCCGAACCGATTCAACCAGATTTACATACTCCTTCCTAAGGTTGACGTCTTGGCATCTGCAAAGGTGACAAAAGTTTAGATTAGGAATGCAAATTTATTCGCAAATAGAACAGAAACCTTGGGAATTCATTCCCAACACAAATATGATTCGGTCCTATCAATTAATATGTCCATTTATCACCCATATACGGATGTAGGTGCCCGTATCTATTGCACTTTCGCATTCCACGACCGGACCGGTATAAATGGCGCATAGCAAAGTGCTGGATCATGGCACATGATGGGCATAATCCGCCTTGAATAAGGTGTCAAGTTTAACTGGAAATAGTGGGTTCACCTCGTCACCCACCCCAGCAAAGGGGCCATCACACAATATACTTAGACCCCGGTCGCGATTTGCATTTCAGATTCACAGAGAGCATGAAGTCACTTGTCGAGCAATGAAAGTGCGACCCCGCATTAAAACTTGGTGCAGTTCAAAAACCCCAGCGAAATGCTAATGTCCAATGACGAACATTTGCAGGTAAGAAAGTAAGAAGCAAAAGAAATTCAAATGAAAACCATACAAAAAATGTAATTTCAATTATCATTTTTATTGACGACGACAACAAACCGCTTTTTGTTTGCGAAGAGAGAGTGTCGATTGTTTTGCGAAGAGAGAGTGTCGATCGGAGTAGCCCGCATGTGGAGGGTATTTCGAATGCGATCCACAGCACGTGCAGAGCAGGAGAGCGTGTCGCGGGAGAGAGCGGCTGTCTTGGCTGCGAAGAATTAGTTGCAAAGCGGCTTTCTTGCGGGGAACATCGAGCAATTCGAGGAACGGAGACCGAAACAAACCGGAGAAGATTGCCACGCGAAAAGAAAAATTGGTGCTAAGACCCCGCTAAAACAAAAAGTACAAAACATCCCCATCAAAACCGCAAAACTGCAGCAACATCAGAAAGAGAAAAGTGCACAAAACACGCATAAAAAAGATACAAAGGTGCGTTCGCCCGACACAAGAGTGAAAGTTGAAAAGTGTTTTTTTTGTATCTATAACTAAAATGCTGCCTAATGCAGACCAAATCCCTCAGGCATTTTAAAGTCTCGCTGACAGTTTAGTTAAATTGGTTATCCCCGCTGACTCAGCAGAAGGCAATGCAGATACAGCAGCAACAGATACAATATTATCTGTTACCTGTGAGTAGATACTTTTTACTCATCCGCAAACCGCAAACTGCGATGAACTGTGAGCCATTGTTGTAGATGCTGTTGCTGCTGCTGCTGTACCTGCAATTTCGGCCGCTACTCATGTTGCCGAGTGGCTGCAATTGTTGCTGCCGCTGCGTGACAATGATTGCACAATGAAATCAATTGTTATAATGGAATTAGCGTGCACGAGGCCGAACACAGCCGTGAATTGTCAGCCAGAAAGAGAGAGCGGGCGAAAGAAAGAAAGATTGTGGCGGGGAAAGTGGGGCTAAGAGCGCCGCAAGATATCAGTAAGTGCGCGTAAAAATGTGTAATTAAAAGTGCGAGGAGGGGCGGGTAGAGTATAACTGAACTTGACTCAAACTGCGAAGCACCCAATTCAATGTGCTCTGAATACGTTATAAAATACCAAAATCCCATTCATATTATGAAAACATTTCATAACAATAAGTGTTCAATTAATAAAACTTAAAAATATTCCTCTCAGCAAGCAAGGTTTCATTCCATTAATAAGTTGCCTTGGATTTACTCCCCATTTTGTGAGATCATTTAAGATCAACCTTTACGGCAACGCCTTGCTTTTAAAATACTTATTGGTGTGATCATTTAGAAAAGCAGCCAACTCATTGCTTACCCCATCAGTTGACCAAACAAAACCCAACCCGAATACAAAATCAAGGTGGAAAACCCTTAAAGCAAAAATCCAATAAAGGTGATTCAGAAATGCCGTATTCAGTAAGCATTTCGCCCATTAAGGGTTTCAATATCGTTCATTTCGACAAGCCCTTTCACTTCTTGCTCAATGGAGGCAACCTTAAACTTTTCCATCTCCCTCTCTCTTTTCCATTTGCTTTCACAATACAAATATGTATATGTAAAATATAAACAATTGTCTTTCGAAACAATATTTACAAGCGTGGCCAGCTGTGACAAAAAAAAATCAACAGAAACCGCTTAAAGGGGGCACGTTTTTGATGCACAAGACATGTTGCAAAACGAAGCAAAGAGGGACTAGAAAAACTGGTTGGACACATGAATAATATGTGAAAAACAAAATCTATAGGATAGGAAACGAGAATCGGTTGAAGGGGACAAACGCTAAGTGCATTCGAGCAGCAGAAGAACCTGATAAGTTGGCTAAAGTGGATCATGTTATGGCCTGTGGAATCTATCGAGAGTTGAGGCTGAGGGCCAAAAAATGTAAAGAGGGAGCTGTGCCGAATCGAGAGTGTCCGCTTCAAAAGTTGCCCGCCAAGTGATCCATAAACGGAGCGATTAAATAAATTAAAATTCTTTATTTGCTGTTTATTGCTGCGGCTGCTGTCTCTCTTTTTCTCCCCCTCGATTTCTCTATCTCTCGCCCACAGCGGGTTCTAATAATTAACACAAGAAATGGCTCACTGAGCGCTGAGGGATTTAATTCCACATGGTTTTAAATCGTACATAGTACCCAGCTTATTTACATCAAAATTTAGTTCAGTCTTTGTCATTTGCTAATCGAAACTCGTCTGGCGAAAACAGCTCTGAAAAGTCCCAAAACAGAGCACGCAAATGTAGCTCGGAAATCGACCATGAATATGAACGGATACGGATTAAATGGGTGAGGGACGAATCAAAGCTGATAACAAAGGACAGGGAGAAAGCTAAACCAACACCTTTGTATTCAGATATAATTAACTTTCTGTTGAATCACTTATCTAAAACATTCATGAAAATGGTTCTACATAGTTCTTAAAATTTGGTTTACTGATAAGAAATATTTTTGTAGTGACCAAATTCAAGCTTATAATAGTGACACACTCTTAAATAAAATGATTTCATTATTTATATAAGTGACTTAAGTGTATAGTCAGATATTTTAATAGTACGAGTTCAAAATACATATACGTGACTTCATTTGAAATACCTAATTGAGTCTTATACTGGCCAATAGTTTTCTAAGCAATAGAGAAGCATATTTAAGATGGGCTGAATATAAAGAATTCCAATTCAAAACAACTTGTACCGTGGGATTATCTGCCCAAATTTCAACTCCACTTGACTGTACTTAAACATATCTCTCCACTCTAGTTCCTATTTAAGTGCCGGCCACTTAACACCGTCGAATTAAATCGAATCGAATCAAGCGGATCCAAGATGCTCACCAGACAGCCCGACTACACCATCTCCGAACTGGGCCATCCCATACACCAGTGGCCGGATTCGACCCTGTGCGAGTCCCTCAAGAAACTGGACCATAAAAAGTTGCCAAGTTCCCCGCCTTCACCTCATCGCCTCCTGCCACTGAGGGAAACCCTGGACGATTATTTCAAGCGATTGACGATGAGGAGCAGAGAAGACTTAGCAGAGGATCCCATTTACCAGCAGAAACAGCGGAAGAATCAGTGGAACGAGCAGCAGCAAAGACGGTAAATCAAATGGAAAACTTAAGCAAACGTTTAATAACATTTCCCCATCTTGTTTCTCTTTGCACAATGGCCAAACCATCAACAGCAATCTAAAATGTCGAGATAAAGGCGAGTTCAGAGCAACAACAACGACGATAGCGACGACCTGCGATCTAAACAATTTTTGAGATTGGAACAAGGGGGAAGAATACGTATGGGGTAGCAACCTAAGCGGACTGATTAAATGTGCTAAAATAAAATCACCTTTTGCCTAGAACATTAAGTACATTAAATGTTAAGTAAAGAAAAAACCTATAACACTTTATTCTAATTTAATTGCCAGCCACGCAGTTAGCATACGAAAAGATTTTCAAATGGAATTTCAACGGCCCATTAAAATGTAAACAAAATGCGGAGAAGAGTAGTGAATAGAACAGAGCAAAACAGACTGGCAGCCAAAAATGGCGGGGAGACATTGGGGTAACCTTGATCATGAGCACGTCGTCGCGGGGCCAACAAATTAATGATTGGACGTGCTTTCTTTAAATGGCTAAACGCGTGCGATCGAAGCAGATCTGAATTCGCAGAGGAAGAAATTGCGATCATCTTATACTCATGGAATCCAAAGTTGATCATGGAGCGGATGGCGAAACCGAGAAACGGATGGCGAAACGGTGGAATGGCAGTCTATACATCTTAACAAGTGAAGATTGTGACTTGTCCAGAGTTATCTTTACATTTAAGACCTAACAAATTAAATTCGTTCAGCTGTCGCGACACAAAAAAAGGTTTGCGAAGTAAAGTATTATCTCAAATTAAAATGAATTGATAAAAACAAACTCTTACTTAAATGTTCTTATTAGTGAACTTTTGTACGAATTGTCCTTAGCTTTAGTTTGAAAAGTTACTGATGCTTTTAGGAAGACATTCTAAAAACATTTTTCGAATTAAAAAATTTTTTCCATTTAATACACGTTTTGACAAAAGGAAACGTTTATCGGCAGTTTTCTTGATTTCTAAAAATGAAAAAACTAGTGTTTTTTTCTAAATTTGAACTAAAATCTCGGTCTTATGCTGATACTATATGTAATGTCGAAATAAGAATAAATAAATAAAAGAAATTGAATAAAGATTCAAGAATAACAACATCATACGCAGTTCAATTCTGTTCATATAAAAATTAATTAAAAACCTAATTTGCAAGTATAGCAAACCAATAAAAAAACAATTGATGAGATAATGAAATTGATTGCTCTTTCTGAGATTTTCTTAATTGCCCCAATATTAGTATTCGCTCCGGCACCTAAAGCAGACTGGTGACATATGTTCCATATGGCGACATAAGCACACCAATTGTCATCGCACTCTCTTTCCGCTTTTGAAAGTTTAAGGTTTTTGCTTATACTTGCTATCGTGCTCTTGATCTCTCCGCTTGATTGGGCTTAATGTGTGCTCAGCTGGGAGCTAAGTATTTATATCTCTGCTCAGCCGAGTGGAACTCACCGAAAGAGGTTGTCCGAGATGAGTAGCGTTTCAATGGCCTGGGACTCGGCGGCTTGGAGGACGTGCTTCTTGCCGTAGAAAGCCTTTGCTGGCTCACATTGCAGCAGCATGTAGAATTGTTCCAGGGCCTTGACCTCGCCAGCAGCTTTGGTGTCGGACATCTTGGCCAGCACGGCGGGATCCTGGAGAACCTCTGCGGATACAAATGCCTATAATACCAGATCACGATTAGGGATAAATTATGAGCTCACCCTTCAGGGAGTGCTTGAATCCTGACGAGGCGTGCACCAGCATGAACTTGCTCTTGTTGTCCAATAGAATCTTGTAGTCCATCTTGACTGCTTGTTGGAACATGTAGTCGTAAAACTGATCCCGCACAAATCCCGGCGAGGCAATCAGCACGCACTTCACCACATCGAAATTGACGTGCCTCAGGATGCTCTGCATGACCTGCTCGTAGAACTTGGCCAGTCCCTTCTCGTGCTGCTGGACGCTGCCCTTACGCTTGCGCGGAATAGAGACCTCGATCTTGCTCCGCACCAACGTCATGCTGGCGGTGATCAGGCATACGTGGGCCAGTCCCTCCTGCATCACCACGGCGGCCACATCCGCCGACTGTGTGGGATCGCAGGCCATCTCGATGCGCTCCAGGGCGATGGTGTCCCACTCCGGTTTGCGCAGCTCGAACTTGCGGTTCAGCTCCAAGTCGAGGGTGTGATAGGCGCCCATTTTGACGTACTGGTTCTCCTCGATGTTCCGTCCCTTTAACCGCAGCACACAGGCCTGCGTATCGAAGTCGATGCTCTCCACGGCGATGGTTAGAGTGGTGCGCACCCGACTGCTGGTGGACGAGCCCGTGGCCGTCTCATTCTGCACCTTGCGAATGGTGGTGCTGCGTACACTGTCGCCCTCGGCTATCAAATTGTAGGCGTGCCACATGTCCTCCGACTCCTCGGGCATCAGGGTCACATTTCTGTGGGTTTTTAAATTAGGGGAAAGTTCATAGAAGGTCAACTCCCAAGTCGATTCACTCACCCCTGCATGCCCTTGTCCACGTATTTGCCCAGCAGCTTCATCCCGTCGTGTTGCTGGTCAGGATTTCGTTTTCGTTTCGTTGGCAGGTGCTGTCTCTATCTCGAGTGCTTTGATTCCCCGCGCCGCTTGTCACTTGCATCCAGATTTCAGAGATTCCCTCGGTCCACAAAGGCGGCGGTGCATCGTTGTCATTGGGTCCACGCAGTTGCTGAGTTCACACGGCTGATCGGATCGGCAGGATGGTTATTCTGATGGTGGTGGGCAGTGGAATCGGCGGACAGTGACATTCACACGGGACTCCACGGGGCGAGCAGTGCTGCGCGGCTAGCGGGTTTCACGCCAAATTGGCGATCTATGAGGTTGATGAACCGCTATTCTTATCAAATTAAATTAAATAGATATGCAAACGTAAAGAGATGAAAAAAAATGTAACACTCAAGAATGGTTATTAATACAAGTTCAAAGTATTTTACAGAGATTTGAACTACTTTTCTGACAACTGAAAACCGAGTTTTCAAATATAAACCAATTGGCTAGCAGTAAGATTAGTAAAAATATGTTATCAATAGATTTTCATGTTATCAATAGATTTTCATAATGACTTCAAAATTTTAGGAATGTAATTTATAGAAATAGACTTGTTTAATGACACATTTAGAATACATTTCTAGAACTTCTGAAGTTCGTTATATTAAAATCAGCTCTTCTCCTTGCAGACTAGCCAGCACTGTCGAATGACAAGCTGGCAGTATTTATTGGTATTTTCAAGTACAGATTCCTGTGGCGGCCGAACGGTCACTTTAATCCAACCATGTGCGATGTCCAATAAAAAGAAACAATTGATTTGTATTAAAAAATACACATGTTTATTGAAATTTGTACACTTCTTCACTTAAGCCTACAGTATAACTAGACTAGGAGTCGCTCGATCTCCTGCTGGATGGAGGTGATCTGCGACTTGAGCTGACTGCCCTCGTTGGTGGTCACCGAGCAGGCGACAATTGGCCGGGAAACGCCGCAGGCGCGTCCCAAAGCCTGCTTGGAACGCACAAAGACATAGGGCACGTTCTTATCCTCACACAGGAGTGGGAGGTGGAGCAGGATCTCGATGGGCTCCGTGTCGCCAGCCAATACCACGATGTCGGCTAATCCACGATTCAGGGTTTTGGTAGCCTCGTTGGCTCCCTTCCTCAGTTGATTGTAGTTCAGAGCCTGCTGCAGCAGGTTCATTATCTTTGCCGTTAGCTGGGCATCGGCGAGCGGGAATGCCTTAGGATTCACTTCCTCAGTCTGAAAATGTTAAATACTTATTACAATTCACACTTATTATGGGTTGTCTTAGGCTTTCTCACCATTTTGGGTTTTATTTCTTGTTGATTTAAAGGAAAAATGTGTAATAAAATGCAACCTCTCGGCTTGTTGCTTCACTGAGGGCAATTGCTGGTACAATTGAAATCGTTTTCAAAACACGTGCGTTGGAGTAGCAAAACCGTTCGTGGATGGATTTTAAATACCAAAAATTAAAACTGGTCATACTGCTTTTGAACGATATAAATCGTATATATTGGGCTTGGAAGATTGACAACCCAGCCCTGGCTTAAAACTACACAAATTTAAAAGTGAAATCCAGAAGATCATTTTTTTTAATTTATCAACAGAAAACAAATTTAAACAAGAATAATGACAATTTAAATAAGTAAAATAGGTATATGAACAACTAAATCAAACATTTACACAACAATTTTTTTTATAGATATAACAGTATCAAGCACATGTACAAATCTTATAAAACATATTACGTTTTTTGTATTCATTGGTAAGTAGAACAGCAACTTAAGATTTTGAAAACAAGCTGCGAGCTGCACTTCAAACTAGACAAACAATTTATTTCGTTGATGAATAACTATTCAAAGCGATGAAAAAATTAATTTTTGTGTATACCTTCAATAGATTTATTTTAATATACAGATGTATCAAGGGTGGGTAGAACAGTCTTCTTACTCTCTGAACTCATTATATTTTCCGTATACCGTTAAAAACCTTTTCGGAATAAACGCGTTTAATATACTGAAAAGCTAACGGACTTTTCCCTACAGTGCATATGAAAATGGCATTTTAAAAGTTGCTCCAAAACCTTATAAATAAATATAATACATATATTATATCTAACAGACAGGTCAGCCCCACGCCAAAAATTAATTCAACTTAATTGTCTATATCGCATATACCAGCATAAATGAAGAATAAAACGAAGTTTTTGATAAAATGGCAGATTTTGGAAAAGAGAATAAAATCTGTGGAACTAGTGGTCGGAACCGGACTTAACATGACGTGTTGCGTTCATAGTACAGAAACATTTCGGCGCCAAATTCAAATACAAGTCATCGAATATATTCCTACAGAGCGCGATCCTTATCATTAATTTTCCTGTTAACTGTAAACTTAAAAAAAACACGAAAACAAAAAAAAAGTATTAAGTTTTTAGCTATTTCTGAAGTAGAATGGAACAGCACCCACTCAGTAGGGATTTCCCACAGTTGCGCATTTTTGCTCACTACGAGCGGAGTGCTTATCGCTGGCCTGCTCACACCTGCGTGTGGGGGCGCATTCGCGAGTCGCGTCAGTCGATAAAAAAACTTTGAACGTGTTGGACGGGAAAACTCGGTTCGGCGGCTATGCGGGTATTTTTAATCTAAGCCATCAAATCCACAGCTACAGTGCATTAAATCGATCGGAAAGTCGAGGCAATATTTCTGAAAGTGTTTACAAATCGCTGGCATCGTAGTCGTTAATTGCAAAAAGGTAATTACGCGCAGAGAAAAACTCAAAGAGCAAAGTCAAACAAACTCAAAAAAGGAAATGAATGTATAAAAATCGATTATCCAATCTGTGTGCGGGTGTGTGTGTGTGCGAGCGAGCGTTGTGTGTGTATGCGTGTGCGATTGTGTTTGTTTAAACCACGGGATTTTTATGCCCAAATCGAATGGCGAAAATTTAGCACAGCGAGCAATAAAGACCAATTTAACTAATTTAAAGTGTGCGAAATGTGGAAAAGTGCCTGCGAAGAGAGCGCTAAAAGGAGATCGCAAAAATTAAACCAGAAGCGCATACACATACACCTACACTTGCGCACGTACACACACACAAGTGAATGTAAAGAAGCAAAGTCAAAGAAAAATCAGAAGCCAAAGCAAAAGACAGTGCCAAAAAAAAAAGTATTTAATAATTTAAATAGACAAAAATGAGAGAGAAAATAAAAGAAGAAGCAGAACTGCGTGCGAGTGCGTGAGAGCGAGTGAGCTGGCACTATATCATCAGCTGTTTGACACTTGACACGATCGAAAGTCGCCTCCTCTCGCTCTTTTGCTCTCTTTCTCACCCTTCTTCTTCAACCTCTTCTTCTTTTTATTGTTTAATTTCGAGTTTATGTGTGATTTTGTTTAGCTTATTTATTCAGTGATTATAAGCTGTTTTCGTGCTCGAAAAAGTGCCAGCACAGCGCTGTAAGAACAAAAACAATGTGAGAAAATTATAAGATCCGAGAGCAGTAAATTTACTTAATCAGAGAACAACTCTGGGAACTGGACTCTTATTTTTAGCCCTTACCGAATTTCCCGCTAATCTGTGCCGTTTTCTCTTCCGTTTCTCTTTGCAGCTTCTCAAAGTAAAGTAAATCGCGAGCATAAGCATCCTAAAGTGTTAAACCAAATGTTAGTCTAAGCCTAAAGTGTAAAACTAGTTTAAGACAACCTAAAACAAAACAAAAAAAACAAACCGCAAAATCGAAAACGTGCTAAAACCAGAACTTAAACGCGTCTAAACCAAACGCCTTAAACAACAACTCCAAAGCCAAGGATAACCAGCGAAGAGAGAAAGAGAGCTCCTGCGAGAAGCTCTCTTTGGCGCCGAAGGAGCAACTATTTCATCCGCACCGTTGCCCAGTAACTCGGCAAAATAGCTAAGTCCATTTTGCAGTTCCTTAAAAAGAAAAAGTCCCATCATAGTTCCACATCCGGCGAGGGCAAGCTACAAGCGCAGTCCAGTTGCGAGGAGGAGGGCGGAGCGGCAGCGGGAGGAGCGGGAGCGGCAGCGGGACCCCCAACGGACCAGGCTAGCAGCAGCAGGAGTACGCCCCCCGCAGCCACGACCACGCCCGGTTCGGGGGCGGAATCAGGCGGCAACAGCGGAGGAGGAGCAGCAGTAGCAGGGGCGAGCAGCTCCGGCGAAGATCAGGCCCAGGTCTCGGCCAGCGCCACTTTCCGGTTGTCATCGCTAACGGGCACCATCTCCAAGATGGGCAACAACGCTACCACGTCGAACAAGAAGGTCGATGCCGCCGAGACGGTCAAGGAGTTCCTCGAGCAGGCGAAGGAGGAGTTCGAGGACAAGTGGCGCCGCAATCCGACCAACACCGCCGCCCTCGATGACTTTGAACGGATCAAGACCCTCGGCACTGGGTCCTTTGGCCGCGTCATGATCGTCCAGCACAAGCCCACGAAAGACTACTACGCCATGAAGATCCTCGACAAGCAGAAGGTGGTCAAGCTGAAGCAGGTGGAGCACACGCTGAACGAGAAGCGCATCCTGCAGGCCATCCAGTTCCCCTTCCTCGTCTCGCTGCGCTACCACTTCAAGGACAACTCCAACCTGTACATGGTGCTGGAGTACGTCCCCGGCGGCGAGATGTTCTCGCACCTGCGCAAGGTGGGCCGCTTCTCGGAGCCGCACTCGCGCTTCTACGCGGCGCAGATCGTGTTGGCCTTCGAGTACCTCCATTACCTGGACCTCATCTACCGTGATCTTAAGCCGGAGAACCTGCTGATCGATTCGCAGGGCTACCTCAAGGTGACGGACTTCGGCTTCGCCAAGCGGGTCAAGGGTCGCACTTGGACGCTGTGCGGCACGCCCGAATACCTGGCCCCGGAGATCATTCTGTCCAAGGGCTACAACAAGGCCGTCGATTGGTGGGCGCTAGGCGTACTCGTCTATGAGATGGCCGCCGGTTATCCGCCGTTCTTTGCGGATCAGCCAATTCAGATCTACGAGAAGATCGTCTCCGGCAAGGTGCGCTTCCCGTCGCACTTTGGCTCCGATCTGAAGGATCTGCTGCGCAACCTGCTGCAGGTGGACTTGACCAAGCGCTACGGCAATCTGAAGGCGGGCGTCAATGATATTAAGAACCAGAAGTGGTTCGCCTCCACCGACTGGATTGCGATCTTCCAAAAGAAAATCGAGGCGCCGTTCATTCCGCGGTGTAAGGGTCCCGGCGACACGAGCAATTTCGACGACTACGAAGAGGAGGCGCTGCGGATCTCCAGCACCGAGA